CGACACTGATAGCAACTGAGATACAACTAGGCAAGCAAAATGTTGAAAAAGTGAAGCGTTTGGAATAATGAAAAAAATTGCAAAGATGAAGCCCTAAAAAGTGCCAGATATGTGAAGGGAAAAATAGCGTAGGACAAATGTACTTATTGTGCAAATAACCAGACAAATGTATCAGCTTAGCTGTATAGGTTTAAGGCAAGTATAACAACGTGGGTTGTTGCCACCCCCTTGTCGAAGTTTAACAATTGTATCCCTAATATATATTTTGTTTTTTTTCAATCGATTATTGTATAAAATGTAAAAGTAGAGAAAAATTCCTCTCAAAATGTACCATATCCTAATGTGAATCCTTAAAATCATGGTTTTGTTTAATCAAAAGTCCAAAACCCAAAGATATTTAAATTAAAACAATACAAAAACAGCTAAATTTGCCATGTATTACTCTGCAACCAGCAAAAGGTTTGTATTTTCGTGTAGATTAACTGTTTGTCATTTCACTGATTGATTACTCAACTAAAGCGGTTTGCCTCAAATCCTCATCTGCAACCCCAACACACACAGCTTCCGGTAAATGTAATGTGTCTGTGGGGACAGATGGAGCACTCCCTATTCTTTCTATTTTTGGCCACAGGAAGAAGTGTGATGTGTCAAGAGGAAATGATATGATTAGGAAAAACAGGGATGTTTGTCTATTGAGCATGCTGCACAGGAAATCTGTTTACACAGATGAACAGCAAAGGGCAAAGATACACACCGTCTGATGTCATCCCTCATTCTACCAAGGCTTGCACGAGTGTTCGAAAACTACACCCTGTTTTTCAGATTCCTCTGGCTTTTATACCTCCAATCAAACAACCATTAATCAAATAGAAGTACGTTTTTTGAGGCTTTGCCCAGAGATGCTTACTGTGTTTCCACTAATCGCACAGTCGCTCTTGAACGCTTTCCAATCCCGGTTGTGTGTTGTGGGTTTTTTACGGCCACCAGTGACCCCTTCCACCCCATCTCTCTTATCAGTGCTGAGCACACATGGAGGAGTGTGGCTTCGGAGAGGACGTAAAAGGTCCTTTCTCATTGCAACGCCTTGATGGCTTTTATCTCCACTGTTCCGCACCTCGAGTCTGGCTTTGAAGCTGAATACATATTATTAGTGGAGCGGGGTATCTGCACACAACGTCGACTTGTGGCTATTATGGCATAGCTGGCGTTCAGCCCGGGGAGGAAACGTTAAGGGATGTGTGAGGCTGAAATTAGAAAGCTGGAAGACATAATAAAAATGCTCACATCCTTGAACAGAAATAGCAACCCTGCCTTTTGTCTTCTTTTGAAAGGCGGCAAAGAGATGGTGAGTTAATAAGATCATCTGCCAGGGTGCAGCTTCTCTTAAAGCGTCCAGAGAGGAAGATCACACCTGACAAGCGTTGCACTCCCACATAGATTGTTTTGGCAGACTTTGACAGTCAACAGGATGGGTTTCCGTTTTCTGTCATATCCACTAATATCTTACCACAGTTTCAGTACAATTAATAAAACAGGCCACCCAAAAACGTATGTGCTTATTTGTATTCCCTATTAATTGCAGCTTATGTCTGTCAAGGTGACCTTTAAAGTAAGGCTGTAAGGGCAATAATAAGAAAATCACGATATATTTGGACCAAATGCTGTGCTATCATAACGATATTGGAGGGTTGACCTTTGGTGATTTCACAAATATAAAATAATTTAAAAAGTCTGAGCAATATGGATAGAATGACTAAGCGGGTAAAGGCAAAGTCTGATATATTAAGAAAATTACAACATTTGACTGTCAATCAGGCTTTAAAACAAGAAGAGACAACACTTCTAGATATCCAAAATCCTCTTTTCACAATATCTATGTTATGTCGATACAGTGCCCAACCCTACTTTGAAGCCTCAAAGGATTGAATGTAAATACTTAAAAAAAAACAAGGGTCAAATGATCCAAATATAGAGGTCATGTTATAATTCATCATTCTTCTGTGCTATTATCTCCTCTAAACACTGCCAATATTTCCACCTAATCACATTAGTCATGCTCTCTACTCACATTTCAGCCAGACATTAGATTGCAACAACGTGACTCACAGTGGAATAAATGAGCAAACATAATGGGACATAAAAGGCAGCCAAGCAGCGTTTATGCTCATGTTGAAAGTGTCCCTTTGACAGACCAGGCTTATTGTGAAGCCAGCAGCGTCCTTGAGCACAATGTAGGCTGCAAGTCTGCCTCAAAGCATGATTTAACGCTGACTCTTAACTTCCTAACAACAGGAAAATATGAGTTTCAGCAAAAACCGAGCAGTTAATGAAGCTTTTGTGTGTGCATAAATGGGATCAGGCGTTCAGAAATCGACAGAGGAGACAGAAACAAACTCACCTCTTTGCATTCACGCCTCTATTGATCGCTTTCCTCTCTTTGCGTCCCTGGAGAGGCTCTTCCACTCGGGATTTCTTTGCAAACTTCTCTGCAACATCGCGTCCAAAGTCAGAGTGCGATCGCCTTGAAGAGTTGCTTTCCTCCTCCTTTTTCTTCTCCTCTTGCTCTGCAACTTCTCTCAACAGCGGATCGTCCGCGGCGTTGCCCCCCAAAAAGTACAAAAGTAGGAAAACTCCGAAACACACGGCGATCACAACTACTTTGCAGTGGATCCGCATGGTGAGAGCGACTTGTTGCGGCTGGTTGATGCAGACGGGGCTCCGTTCATGTCTGCGGGTGAGGGAGAGCAGCCCGACTTGACATTATGTTACCGCTCCCCGCTCGCATTTTCCTACAGATGATGATGGAGAGCGGAGAGGAGCTTCTGCAAAACGTCCATGGAGGATTAGGCATTGGAGGCGGGGCGACTGAGCCATTACCGTAAAGATGGGAGCACTGCCGCACGTGCAATCACGATGGAGGAGTTGAATGGTCAATGCCACATAGGCTACAGAAACATATATGAAGGGCTGGGCCACTTATAGAGGTGAGGTGTATTGCCTCGTACGTTAAGTTATGAGTTAGCAAAATGTAGGTAAATTAGGCTTGATACATGAATATGCTTTAAGAAAAAAACAGCCTACATCACAGCTCTCTATAGGGTTTCATTAATCTTGTTGGCAACTCATTCCTTAAAACAGAAGCCTCAGAGTGATTATAATAAGATGAAATATGAAGGGTATTTTTCAAGTTTGTTGTGTAAATAAGTTATTGGGCTTTTTTGTATCAACTAAGATTTGTTAGAAAATGTTTTCAACATGAATTGACTGAATTTATTTAAAAAGTGGGCTTATTAGCACATGAATACTACTGTGTAATATATTTGTATTTGTGGGCCATATTTCGTTATATTTTTTAATTTGCTGAGGGCCGATTCAAAATGGCCGTAGTTTGGACACCCCTGGTTTATGATGTTCTTAATGTACTATTTATCTTCTTGTTTTGTATTTGGTACAGTAAAAACACTTTTAAACAACATACATTGTGTTGTCATATTGATATAGTGTCTCTCTAAGTATTGAAACAAATTTGTTCGTGCAGATATGTTAACATCTTAAAAATAGAGGGTTTTCCTTTATGGAAAAAAAACCCTGAAGTTTGGTTAAGTTATAAAAATACTGGAGCTTAATTGTATTGTTTCTGAAGGACATATTAAAGAAACCTGACTCCTGATGCCCTGGTAGCCTTGAGTTTTTCTGAACAGATGTAAAACATTTGACTGTCACTTCCTGTGATGAGTTTCAACAAATGTTTTTACAATATCTCCTCTGACAATTCCTCTTATAACCCTAACCAATAATATAAGTAGAAGCCCAGCCGGTAAAATTATGCCGTAACATGTCAAGGATGCTTTGGCTCAAAGGGTAAGTGGATATCTAAGAGTCAGAAGGTTAGTGGTTTGATTCCCAGCATGGGATGGAAAGTGAATTTTGGAGAGACATGTTTTAAACAAATGTACAGATTTAGTTTGCTTCTTTAATTCGTAGTTAAGATGTTGTAACAAAGTAAATGGATGCCATATCTTATAGAACTAACGAGGCTGTGGTAATTCTGGTGTAAAAAATGTAAATGAAAAGTCAGTGTGAAAGCAACGGAGGCTTAAGTCCAGTTTATTCTAATTACATGTTCAGGTAACCCTGCTTCAGATGTGCTGATAGCCTTGGACGGTCACTCCCTGTGATGACAAATGTTCTTTAACAATATCTTGTTGTCCCCTTGTAACCCTAATTCTAACCCTAATATACGTAGAAACCGGTCCTGCAAAATATGTACTGAAACATCTCTGGGTGTTTGGCTCGATGGGTAAATGGATGTCTCTGAGTCAGAAGGTTAGTAGTTCAAGACCCAGCATGGGAAAGTGTGAACCATGCTGGGTCACCATATGGAAAGCAAGATGGTGTGATAATGTGAAAACTGGGACTAAGAAAGACTCTTGCTTGGTACCAAAAAGTAACTCTCTGTTGGTACCATGAAAGCCAGGCAGGTGTACAGCTGGGGAGACGGAGGGATGTGACTAAAAGGAACAAAAAGGGAATACAATTAATTAAAAATAATTAAAAAAATGTTTTACTAATACTGAAAAAAGTGATAAAAATAAGAATTAAATATATTACTTACTAAAAAAAAATCTGTCTGGCGATAACACATAATTAAAAAATATTGCTTTGAGAATATTCACTAATATTAAGCAAATGCAATAAAACACATGTTATTAATGTAGTAAAACCACCAGGGGAAGTATTAGGAGATGTGTGTAGTGATTTTCTTTTTTCTCTTAACATGTAAACTATGCATTATGCACTATGCACAACACTGCCCATTGTTTACATGTTCTTGACCTCCAAGATTCAACATCCAAGTTCTTTATTATCATAGCACAATTATTACAAAGAAAAAGCCTAAAACTCATGTTGGTTTTGTCCTCAGATTTGGGACAGATAAGTGCCACAAAAAGACGAAAAGCTTTTTATCAGAATTGTTTTTACTGCCAGTTTGCACTTCACATTACGGTAAAACATGGGCGCTGCATCCATGAGCTGCCAGTGAAGCTTGTTAGGATAACTCTGTATTTCTCTGGTGAGTGTTTACTCTTTAATAGGCTATCTTTAAATGTCCCGTGTTTTAGTGACAGTCTTTGAGGTGATTCATACAGTCCATTCCCACTGCAGTCATTGGCATAAAAGCAGTGTTAGATAGTGGTTGCATCTGTCAACTAGCAATGCTGCTGTGCTATGTTAGCCGAAACACGAGGAGACTAATCATGTGTTTACAGTATGAAAACGAAACTACCTTTAGAAACCTATGCAGTCAGGGTTACACAAAGCTGTTCGGAAGATATCGCTAACTCAAAGACAAGCACTTAATCGCCTTTGATTGTTAAAGTCTAATGTTGAATTCGGCATGCATGTTGGGCAATACAAACTATATTTTAGACAACATTTTGACATTGGCGACTTTCCATGCATGTGACGTCCCTAACTTTCTTCTCTGAAATGACGTCAGCGCCATAGGATTTCGTCTAGTAAATTAACCATTAATGTTAGCATATACCTTTTAAAACATGCAACCAGGTAGATTAGAGTCATGCCGAATATAAATATAGACCATAATACATATTGCAAAGGGTTTAATGTTGTTTTGAAAGATACACAAGATTGTCAACAAGCAAGGTTTATTAAAAAGTGTAGTTTTTTTAATGCAGTTTGGGATGCGATCTTTATTAACAAGAGATGAGGGACATTTTACATCCTGTTCTTGTTTATCTTATTCTATTTTAGATGTTTATAGAATCCTGCATTTACCAGGTCACTTTTATAACATTTAGCTTATTGTATTTCATGCATGACTTGCACATTGGTTTGCAACAAAATCGTGCACTATTTTATTTCTACTCTGTTTCTTCTTGCTTGCACCATATTTATAGTTTTATGTCTTATATATATATATATATATGTATGTTGCATCGTTTAAGGAGCATGGGAGTTAAGATTTTCACTGACATAACCACACTGTAGCTACTCTGCATATGACAATACAACCTTTGAATCTTGAACATTTTATAAGCTCAAAAAAGTCATAGTAAAGACACTTTTAGGAAGTAGGAAACAAGCTATGTTTACAGTTCTCTCTCTATCAGTGTGGCACACGTGGGCTGCTGCTTGTGGAGACATGATCAACTACAACAACATGTAACAGAGTCAACCACAAGGTGGCATGCTAAAGTCAGCTGCTGTGCAATGCAATCGTATACATTGTAACTGGACATTGAGATTGTTTTCCTGTCATTGTTTCTACAGGTCTGTGTTACACCAGCAATCACAATGATAACTCCTGCGTTTGACCTGAGCCAAGATCCAGAGTACCTGATCCTCTGCATCCGAGTTCCCTACACCAGAACATCAGAGTTTGACTTGTTCATTGATGGCACAGATTTCAAGTTCTACGCCAAGCCCTACTTTCTCAGGTGAGATCCAACACAGATAAACTGATGTACCTGTGTATTTCTGTTGAAAAGGAACCTAGTTTGGATGAGGGTTTATAAAAGCAGGTAATTTAGCTTCATTTTGGAGTCACCATGTATCTGAGATTCGAAATTTGCAGACATGGATAATGAGCGATCACACTGACAAGTCAACATAGTACTATTGTATCTACATATAAAATCAAATCACTCAATGTAATAGTACAGCCAGTAAAAAGCACCAACATTGTTTTACAAAACGTGTGAACTGGAGTATAATAACATCTTTATTATACATAAATAAATCCAATAAATAATAACACTTTCTTGTAAAAATGTGTCAAGGAAATCCCAATTATTCCTTATTGGGACTATATGTCAGAATATTTTTAGAATATGGTGTTTTTAGCTCGAAATGTTTTTGTCAATAATACTTTGGGTTTCTTGACTGTCAGAAAACATTTCAGCACAATTTTAAAAAACTATTTGTGAAACTTTATTAATACACAAACTTTCAAAACTTGTATTGCTTAAAAGGTATTTAGAGTAACCTAAAATAAGGGTATGAGAAAGCTATTTTGCAAGTTCCCATAAATTCAATTCAATGTTTTATTCTTAATTTTTGGAGGTCTTGGTAAGTTGGTATGAACTGAACACGTCATTGGTCTGAATATCAATAGGCAGGATAGAACAAATGGTGTGTATGTCGTTGTTATTAGTGATCTGTAACCATGTGATTTTTTGATTTCAGATTATCTCTTCCTGGGCGAGTAGTGGAGGATGGGAGAGAAAAGGCCAAATTTGACATTGATAAAGGTAAGTCACATAACATTATAAAATGATGCAATGGTGAACAGGTGTGTCTTGTCATCTCAGTTGTATGGGGATGTTACATAACAAATTGCATTGAGAGCTGTTACATTAAGGAAATAAATGAAGCATACATGCAAGTTACTGGGATCCATATTCATTTCCTACACTCGACCTATCTCTTTCCTATTTAAGGAAATATCATTCAATTCAAGGTTTCTGTAAAGTTTAAAACTATCATATGATGACGGCAAGAGAAAACAATAATTAAAAGTTCTAATGTAGGATCTGACATTTTCTTTTCCTTTTATTTATTGCGTGTTATTGTGTTCTGTTTCTAATTTCCAACAACTTTACACCAGAGGCCTGTACTACGAAGACGGATTTTCGCTTAGCGAGCTAACTTCAGGGTAAATTCTGGGTTTCCGGTCCTACGACGCTGGTTCACTTCTTAGCGGGGTAGATCTCCATGGTAACTTGTGCTGAACGGCTAGCCTGGTCCGGAGCAGGTTAGGTTCCAGGATAAGAGATCAACTCATAGCACCGCCTGCTGACCAATCAGAGCTCAGTGTGCGGAGTTTAAAGCGATCAATTCATATTACAGGAGAAAGGAAATACAGAAAAACTGCCGTTGAAGGAAAGACGGCCGGCAAAAATCAACTGACTGTGTGAACGTGAAAATTAATAGAATATCCCCTCCCATCTTCAGAGCAATCTGACTATTATAACATTAGCGTTAAGAAAGCTTACTTAAATATCTGCCACGACATAAGTAACTGGATCAGAGTAACATTAAGTACAGTCCGCGGCACTGTGAGTGCAGAAGTCAATGTGTTCCATTATCATTCATATCACATCATAATGTATCATATATTTCCTTATCTGAGTCAGCTGAGCCGTATCTGGCCGTGCAACACTCACAGTGTCACATACTGTATGCAGAAGTATTATTTTAAGCAACACATTAAGTTGACGAAACACTCGAGTCAAATGTAATTAAAGTCAGATCCACTCGTGTCTTAGACGGGGCGGTGATATCATAAACCTGTTAATGTACGCATTCAAACACTTTTTATTTTACCAGCTGTATTCACCTTGCAGCTGCAGCTATGTGGCTTTTATCCTGGATAAAGTGTTTAAGTCATGGATGTTTAAAGTTTAACTTCTTCATATGTCTAATATTATAGTTTACTTTTCATTCAGGAAGTATGACGCTGCGCTGTCAGTACGCTTCTCCATGTTTGTGATTGGTCAAATGTTGCTAACCCCGCCCCTTTCATGTGAACGCACACTCAGCCGGACAGAGAAACCCTGGCTTGAGTTACCGAGTTGATAACCAGCGTCGTAGGACCGCTTAGCGAGAGCGAGTTTGTTTTGGATTAGGTAAACCGGGTAACTCAAACATATCCAGGGTCTGTTGAACTGGATTCGTAGTACAGGCCTCGGTTTCCTCCAGTGTTACTTGCTTTGCTTAAGGGAAAACTGTTTTCTTTTATATCTTCTTCTCTAAGTTGTTTTAAAAATCTCAACAAATTGAAGGTTCTTTTTCCAGTCAAGTGTAAGATCAACATGGATTTTAAAACAGATAATCTTTTACCAGAAGTACTTGTGGGTTCTAGAGGCTATAGGGTAAAAGCAAATCTGATAAATAGCTAAGCCCAAGACCATTAAGAGCTTTAAAAACAATTACAAGTGTTACAATCAATATTGAAGCTCACAAGTAGCCAATGCATAGACTTCAAAATCGAGCTGATGACCGTTCTCTTTCTGGTTCTTGTTCAAACTTGCAGTATTATTTTAAGGACACCAGAAAGTAGAGCATTACAATAATCAATGAAATCATGTATTAATGTCTCTCTGGCTTTTGAGAGAAACGTGCAGACTAAATAGTCTTGTTACACCCCTAATACTTGGTAACATTTCTAACATAATCCTTGCATTTGGAAACCTTAGATATAATGCTCCTTTTATATAAAGACAGATTTGAATGATACTGTTGACCGCTCCCACATGAACAAAAGCGCTAACTGAAATATGGCTTAAGCTGCAGAGAGGAATCCACCCCCGGGGAGTCTTTAGTTTGATCTTCAGTCAATCGGCCAGGGAGAATTAACCCACTCATCATGTCATTGCATCACATTTAAAGCACCACAGTAATGTCACAGTGATTAAAGCCTGCAGACTGCCTCTAACTTCTCTCCACAGTGATAGGGAGCACTCTTATATTCCTTTAAATATAACAACGATCAAATGAAATGCTGTCTGTACGCTGCCGTCTGTCACTGTTCTGTCTTTTCTCTCGAACATAATCAGCCCTAATGAAGTTGTCTTTATGGGGACATCCGCCTTATGGACTCTGACACCTCGTCGGCCGTCTGTCAGCACGGCCTCTGTGTGTCTAAATAAGCCCGGAACATCTGCTAATAAAGCTGCGCTAATGAGCGTCCTTGTTTAGACTTATAATGAGCAATCATTAAGATCCCCTCTCCGTTCTGCAAGGCCCGCAACTCCAGCAATTAGTGGGCTCCCATCGTAAAGCACATCTAAGCTCTAACACTTGGGTGCATTGAATTTTTACGAGGTCTTTAGGCGGCCCTCAGAATTTCTCTGTGGTGCAGCCAAATCAGTCTAAATCATCCAGCCTGCTACATTTTCAATAGTGAAGACGCTACTTGATTTTGAAGTGTTGCACAGGTGGTCAGGCTGCGGGTATCGAGATGCTCTCCTTCAAATTAGAATGAATGACTTAACAAAGAGAGATCAATCACACTTTTGTATACAAATCAGTAGTCTTTGATTAGTGACTTCCTTGTGTGCTGTGTTTCTCTTGTCACACATGTTGGGAGTCACCATGTCATTGTCACATTGGATGTCAGTTCATTAAAGGTGGGGTAGGTAATTCACTTCAGAAACACTTTTTGTTATATTCCATGGAATGCTCTTAACATCCCGATAGCAATGAATAAATTAAATGCTTTGACAATAAATACATAAAAAAATGTCATCTGTGGAAGCCGTGGTACTGTAAAAAGCACGACCAATCATTTTAGCCGGCCCGGCTAAAATAACTGGATGGCCTACCTGCCTGTCAGCCTTCCATCTGTGCACAAACTTATCTCGTGCCCTCATTGGTCATGTGCACGTTCGTGTGTGTTGGAGGAGGGGCTCTGTAAGGAAGTCTGAAGGAAGGGGCAGATTTTTTTTTTCTTTTTGTACTTTCAAATTCTAGCGCACTCGAGCTGGTTTCTCCATTCTCACCTACCCTACCTTTAAGAACACTTACTCATTTCTTTCTCAACTTAGTATACATAATTTCTATGTAATTAAAGGATAACCATACTCACAAAAAGATCATTTGGATATCAGTTACTCACCCCGTGTTACCTTGATTTCTTCAAGAGAAATCTTTCTTACATTCTTCCACAAGGCATCCAAAACCTGAGAACAGTCTGAATGAGTTGGGGTCAGATTTACCAAAAGCAAAACATCCATTTACTGACCTTATAATACAAGTCTCATATATCCAGTTGTATGCTCACTTCTTCCAAAACGCATGCATTTTCAGAAAAACCATAACTATTTATTCATTTAATCAAAACAGTACTCGCGCACAGTACAGTAGTGCACTTGCGCAAGTGTTAGATGGTTAGTTTATCATGCAATAATGTGACAAAATGCTTTTTTTTCTTAATTTTCTATCAAAATAAACTGAATATCTTTGGGCTTTTTAGTGACAAACAATACATTTAACATTTAAAATCACCTTGGACATTGAGAAAACGGCATAAACATTTCTATCTTTCTTTCACTGTATATTGACCAAACGTGTTGATGAACCTAGAACATAGTAGTTAGTTAACCCTAACCCTAATCCTATTGAAATTAGATAAATGACAAAAATAATCATCGAATTTGGTTTATTTACTTTTCGTTTTATTAATTGTATGGGTAAAAAAAGAGGCTTAAAAGTTGTGTGGAGGAAAGAATAGATCTGTAATGGTTTAAAAAAAACATGCCTTGCTCATTTTGCTGCAGGTCTGTTCACTGTCTGGGTCCCTAAGGAAACGACTGGAGAACACTTTGAAGGACTTCAGATGCTGACCAGCCTCCTCGCTCCGAAAGGCGCCCGCTCAGCAAAACCACTGATAGAGGACGTGAGCACAGGTTAGTCACATCCAGATCATTTCAATTAACAATTAACGTCTCTAGAACCAACCATGACTTCTTACCATGTCAAAGGATGCAGTGAAGGCGCTGGAGATGCTGATGAGGATGAAGATGAGGAAGAGTTTGACTGGCAGGTGGAGCAGGAGGAGTACAAGGAGAGCTCTGAGGAGGAGCTGGGGGCGCTGCAGAAATATGGCTTCGGCAATCAGAGGTCTGGAGTGTTTGCACGATTACAGGTGAGCTTAAACCCTTCTGTCTTTTCTGAATATGATTGAACCGAATCATGCAATCAAAATGAGGATGACATGGCAAGATTGAATGTGTGGGGATTACCTGACAGGAGGAACTGACCGACGTGATTGATGTAAAGAACCCAGAAGGAGCGACGGCAGCAGAGAGGAGGCGCGGCCGGCTGGAAGTTGAGGCGTCTGATTTTTCTCCTGACCATTACCTGTGAGTTTATGAGAATACAAGCCTTGGACACTCTAAAAAATAGCGCTTTTTTTTTTCTCTAAGTTAACGTCTTTGTATGATTTCAGGGCTGATTTGTTTGAGGATGAGGAGATAAAAAGGCTGCTGAAGTTTAGTCCATGGTGGGCAAAGCTGAGTCCTACAGAGCAGGAGGAGGAGGCTGGTGAGTTCAGATTACCCCTTTTTTTTAATATATATATATATAAAAAAGTTATGATTTAAAAAAAAAAAAGTTGCATGAATTTCTGATTTTTCACTTTTTTACTAAACAGAGAAATGATTGACAAAAAAATACACCAAAAGTATACAAAATACCAGAAAACAAATCAAAATGCTCTTAAAAAATGTAAGTAAAAATGCCATTTCAAAGTGCTATTTTTAATGAATTATTGACGGAAAATACACAAAAAATTAACAAATACAAAAAATAAAAATCTTCTATAGAAAATAATGTAAATGTTATTTGTTTTACGTCGTGGGGTACATATCACATATTCATATAAATGCATATCATTGAAGTTTTACAAACAATGAATAATGACAAAACAGTGACTGAAGGCTACCAGAAGGTGGCATGACGTAGCAAAAAGAGAGAGGGCATTCATGCATTGTTTGATGAATTTGTTTGGCCAAATTAGCATACTAAAATGAATTGTATTACCATGTTTACTATCCCCTTTAGTACCTCAACTAATAGCGTATTGTTATTTGAAAAAAAGGATTCTATACGGGAATCTGTTGGCTGGGCTTTCTGCCTGCAAGGCACTGACATTGTTCTCTGACAATATACGAATCCCCAGAGGACGCATGAGTCTTTTCTCTGCCCCCTGCCAGAGGAAGGTCGGAGAGAATGCAACAGAGCTGCCAGAGCGCCTCAGGGCTCCTCAACAGGAGAGACACTTCCCATTACGAGAGGTTGAACTTGGACCTTCGCTAATCACTGCGTCTCTCTGCCGCGTGCTGACCAGTTTGACAAGTGATTTGAAATGTATCTAAACAAAACGTGCAATAAGAAGATGGCAACTTACTCGTATTAAAATATGTGCAGTGTATCAGAAGTTAAAGGGCAAGAGCTGTGGAGTTAAAAAAAAAAAAAAAAAAGGCAGCTTTGAACAGAAATGTGAAACGTATACAAAGGAATGTGCAAGGTTTACAGTATGGAGTATGAGAAATGGCTCCACTTTAGTTCAATGGCTCATTCACTTAGATTGAGACGTGCTACTTGTTAGCTGAAGACCCTTCCGCAGCAGCGTTAGCTCCTGAAGCCTCGGCACTGCGAGAGAATATTGAATTGTCCTCCGGCTCCTCTTAACAGCGTGCTCATTCCGGCACTTCCACTGGTTAAGCAGGCGCGTGGCTCACAGCTTATGTGCGGTGCATGGGTGTCGCGCTCTTGAGAGAGGATTTAGATTAAACCGATAGCGTTATCACAGGAGGGAGTGCCGTTCTGTTGCGGGGGTTTCCAACCGGCGCGGGGGCTGCTGGCCGCTGATGAGCAGCCATCAGTCAGCAGCGCAGAGACCATTAGCCGCAGCCTGAGTTTCAAACATTACGGCTCCCTCGCCTCACTCTGCATTCTGAGACTGAGTGCCTCAGTCGGGAGCCCGGGCGTAGATAAATGGGCCAAATTAAACTTAATGGCTTGATTGACAGGTCAAATAGCATTAGCCTCAGCCGAGTGTGAAGAATGGCCGGAGATTTAGGGCGGCTCGCCATCAAATCCAGAAAGCAGGCTCGTGATTTTAACTGTTTGTCATATATTTTAAAGGGCGAGTACAACTCCTCCTTCCTTTCGATTTGTTTCCCGCCCCCTTCAAGTTGACAGATGCATGTGGACACGAGTGCTAATGAAGTAGAAAGTGGCCCCTCGGTGCTCTCCAGTGTCGGGGGCCAGCGCTCTGACAGGCCACAGCTGTCCACTGGAGGCCTGAGGTCTCACGCCAGGTCGGGTTAAATGATCCTGACAGCTCGGCTCTGTCTACCTGCTGCACTCTGTTATGGCTGGCTTTTTAGAAATCTGACCACGTTGGAAAAAACTACGACAACAAGTTTGCAGACGGTGTCGTGAAACGTCTCTGTGATCGGATGCTTGATATGATCACAGTCTGCCTTCCGAGGTCACGTGTCGACCTTTTGTGAAATCCTGGAAGTGTTTTCCAACCCTCAGCGGTGTTTTGACAAAGCATATTTACTGCATGCCATCAGGCCATCTGGACCTGTAGGGAGCGGTGCAGAGCAGGCCGCCCCCATCCAACTGGAGGAATTAGGTCAGAAATTAATTTGCAATCAGCAGCAGCCCCCATACACCGTGCTAATGCTCAATAGAGCTGATTGGACCCAGCAGAGATGAATGGATCAGGTCTGCTTACCTTCATCACAGGTTTAGCTGCAGGATTAATGATAAATATATTGGCAGTAGCAATTTAACCATTTAGATAATTGCATTTCGTTTTTGTGAATAGCAGTTTTTAATTGCAAACTCATGTTGTGTAGGGCTGCTCGTTGAAAGAGTCCAATCGTACATCAGGGACCCCTGAGCTGCTTGCTTTTCTTTATTTCTATATTCTAGCAGGAGAAGCAGCTTCTCAAAAGCATTCATGAAGGATAGCTCGACTTGTAGAGCTGGCGGACAATTTCTGCAGCTCAGTCTTCACTAAAGCTGACCCGGGTTCGATTCCTACCTGTGTACCATTTCTGCTTATCACCCCCCGCTCAAAACAGCTTATCTATCTACAATAAACGCAAATAAATGATCTGAAACAAAAGAAAAGCCATTAGGTGAACAGTGTTTCCCACAAGAGGTTGTAGGCATGTGGAGGCGTGTGGAGGCCTGTGGCGCAGTGGGTTGTCCGTAGGTGTTCGGATCAGGGGGTCACAGGTTCAAACCCCACTGCAGTCAGCATGTCGTTGTGTCCCTGGGCAAGACACTTTACCCCAAATTGCTCCTGTGGGGATTGTCCACAGTATTGAGTATGTAAGTTGCTTTGGATAAAAGCGTCTAAAAAGTGACATGTAATGTAATGTAATGTATGCTTTAGATATTAACGGTCACGGTGATGACACGGCAAAAAAAAAATCACACCCACGGACATCTGATTCGGGTACAGCCTTAGTGTTGTCTTTCTTTAGAACACACGGCCACTAAATCTGCTAAAATCCCCAGGATCATTTCTGTGAGATTTATGATCCTCAAAGATTTAAGTAACACTCCGTTTTGTGTACATTTGTCTACTGAACACGCACTTGCTCTTATATTTGTATTCCTCGGGTGCACTGCATATCTCTTGACTCTGCAAGTGTTAAATCTCCTCTCAAAGCTCAAGTGTTTGCAGAAGCGGCTGTGCAGATGTGAGTGCACGTGCCTGAGCTTTCTTTGTGTGTGTGTGTGTGTCTGTGTGTGTGTTCTGCTCTGCCGCTGCAGCTGCACTGCTGAGGGACTCAGGTAGCGCCTGCAGGGAGCGAAAGCCTGACGTAATGCAGCAGGAATCTCCTTCCCAGCAGAGCCTCGTTCCCACTGCAGCCGGAGAGATCATTCCGAAGCGCTGCATGTGTATAAATATATCAAGTGTGCCCGCGTGTGTGTGTGTGAGTTCTCGAAGCCAATACACAGCCGTGCTTCTCCCACATCGGGGGCTCGGCGCAGGGACTCTCCTCATGCAGAGAGAACAATTGCTTTCAGCTGTTTTATAAGCTGCCAGGAGAAGGAGAGAAAGAAGAAGCGTCTGAGTTACAGTGTGCTCCTGCAGACTTTCAGCGCGCCTTTCAATACCGCACGCCGCAGATAGCTTAAATGGGATTGAAGTCTGTTTGTGTCGCCCCATTAGGCTTGCCACAGATCTCCATTAAGCAGATGTCTCTCTTTAAAAGGCAACAGTTAGTGAGTTTGCAGAGAGCGGGGGGGGGGAAGCAGACATTTTGAGATATTTTCATTTGATGGAAATATATAATTCAGATGTCAAATGCATCTTAATGGGATTGGGTTAACTGATTTAGTGTAAGCCTGTTCGACCTATTTTCTGCCCGTCATTAACTCCTGTCATCATGCGCCTGAAAGAGGAACTTTGCCCCCCCCGCGCTGTTCCACAATAGCAGGTACTGTACTCCAACATTAACAAACAGGTTATATTTGCAACAGTTTGAACCTGAAACAGGAAGACTGGTTGTGTGCTGATTATTTCGAAAAATATTGCACCGCCAGCCTAACAACTGCTGATAGATGTGCACGTGTGTGTAGTTTCAGTTCGAGATATGTTCAAAACTGGGAGCTTTTTGAATTCCAGTAAATAAAATGTGACATAAAGGAAAAGAAGGGACATTTTCTAACACCTATTCTTTAATGGGAACATGGGTCAAAAACTATTTTTTCCTTTAATGCAACTCTTTCACCACAATAAGTACAGCTCGATTGCCTTGTTATAACTCATCTCAAAGTAAAGAAACACCTTAGCGTAACTGTTCTGGTTAGTCTTTCCACTGTTAAAACAATCAGTAACTCTGGGTTTGGTCAAATAAAACCTACATCTTCTTGCCTTTTTTTTTTAATAAAGCTTAACACATTCTGAATCAAAGTTTCTCTCATTCACAGAACCAGTTTAATTGCAGAGTAAACTCACCTGAAAACACTGAGAAACTAAATGAAACCCAACCAAATCGTCTCACATAGTCTTCCCACCGTTACAACTATCAGCAGTTCTGGTGTTGTCTAAATAAACCCTTATATCACGGAGTTAGATGTTAGAAGATATTGACTTCACAAGCTGTTTTCTCGCTATCTCTCCATCTCTGCCCGCTGAGCAGCAGCTCTCACTCATTCTTCGGCGGCAAACCATTAAATGTAATCTTATCTTTAATCTTAAATTAGTTGACAAAGAAAGAGAATAAAGGAAAATGTATTTCATGCATCTGATTGGGTGCATTATCCCGCTTTGAGGAGTTGGAGAATTATTCCAGGGCCATTCATCCATCATTATCGTCTTATCTGAGGGGGGGGGGTGTCCTGTCGTTGAGAGTACGGGTATGGATGTGTAAAGAGAACTGGATACACGCGCACTCTGTTCATTCCTTTGAAAGATCCTCGGTGTCGCATGAAGCCAAAACCAAAAAAAGCCAATAGAGCAGGTGCACTTGCGTTTTGCTTAAGCTTTAAGGTCATTAAAATGAATGCTGCGAGAAAAATCTGGAATTGGCTTTTACTGCATTTGTCAACTTTAAAGGTGGGGTAGGTAAGTTTGAGAAACCGGCTCGAGATACACTTTTTGTTATATTCCATGGAATGCTCTTAACATCCCGATAGCAATGAATATCTTAAGTGCTTTGACAATAAATCCATAAAAGAATGTCATCTGTGGAAGCCGTAGTACTGTAAAAAGCACGACCAATCATTTTAGCCCGGCTAAAATAACTGGATGGCCTACCTGCCTGTCAGCCTTCCATCTGTGCACAAACTTATCTCGTGCCCTCATTGGTCATGTGCGCGTTCGTGTGTGTTGGAGGAGGGGCTCTGTAAGGAAGTGGCAGATTTTCTCCGGTTGTGTATTTTCAAATTCTAGCGATCTCGAGCCGGTTTCTCAAACTTACCTACCCCACCTTTAAGACCCTTATGATTTAGATGAGGGATATAAAAGTGTTTGTACTGGGTAGTTAAAAAAATATCCATTGATTTACAAACGTCTCTTTCCCAATGTAAGTCAATGGGGAAAAAGTCCTTATGAGCACAATGACGTCACGGACTGACACAGAAGTTGTTGTGCCACCCATTGGCCACTATATTCATTTGCTTCAATGCCCAGCGTAACGTCTTGAGGGGTTTGTAGGGGGCCCCCAAAATTCCCTTTCCCTGGACACATTAACAGCTTTGACTGGGGGATTCAAAGGCGCTCTCAGGTCCCTGGTCCTCAATACTCTGACCTTCTCCCAGCTGGAAAAGCTTTTAAAAACCATGTGGCACTATTAATAGATCCCCGAACACCTCAACTGGCTCCTTTTTATACGCAAGGAGCCTTTGCTATACTCTGAATCCGCAGTGCACTCTGATAAGAGCACTGAGCCTCCACATGTCTGATTAAAAACTGTTTTCTTGAACACCTTTTGCCCTCCACTTTATTCACACTAATGTTTTGCCACGGGCTGATACTTCAGGATGAAAATCACCTGCAGCGGCTGGACAGTTGATCCTGTTATATTACCATAACAATCGCATTTCAAGGTCGGACTACTTCAATGACACGAAGCCTTGATGAGATTTGTCTATTTCATTACGTACGGAACTCTTCAGTCGGGAAGCTAATAGGCAATCCCACAAAGACATGCGCACACATTGCTTTCAAATCTAGGCTTATTGCATATTTGGTAAAAATGTACTGTCAATATCTTAGTCCGGAGCATTCAACGTTTCCAAAAGAGCACAGTAAACCGTGACGTTTTTGTTTGTATTTGAAATGACAGGCTTATTGTGGACAGAAGGCCAAAACTGAGAGAAATGGTTCTTTCTCAGATTTAGCCGGCTTAGTGTGGACATCATCTTAAAAGACGCAGGACTCTAAATCCACATTATTAAGCTGTGTTAATCACAGCAGCGCCATAATGAAACATCGAGCCTTTTTTCTGGATACATGGTGGCTTTAGCGTGCCAATGTTTTTGTTGTCCATGTAAATCTTGTGTGTCCAAAACAAAAGGATTATCTGAATCACTACTGGATTCCTCTGCAGTTCAGTGTCTTAAGTCTTTTTATACATTTTCTCCTGCAGCTGTATCATTCACCGACGGCGAGAAGGAGCAGCTGAGGAAATTCACAAACCGTTCCTACCTGCTGGACAAGGCGTCCCGTAACCAAGTGTGGCTGAGCCTCGTGGACATCCTGCTGACATATTCCTATGAAGTGCGCTCTACAGAGGGAGAGCACAACGTGAGTGTGTGTGTGTGTGTGTGTGGGAAGAGACAACTCCTCCTGAGCAGCACTTAGCCTTGGATGACAAAGCCCTCTATCCTCAAATCCTTTAGACCCCCTTCCATTTCATTCAAAGCCTTAAGAGATTACCAGCAGATCCCAGAGCTCAGTCCGGGGCCTCTTTGTGTCACTCTGCTAAGGTAGCTGCACAGAGGAGAGGTGAGCCGGCCTGATTTCATTAGAGACAGTTCACAGCGCGTGTGAATGAAAGACTAGAGATATTTGATACAGCAAGATCCGTCATGAGAACATTTTAATTTGGAGATCAAGTCCCCTAGCCTGCTCCTTGCAGTGAACATGATGTTATCCCATCAGAGTTATGTTACTGTGTATTTCCCCTGTCTGTCATTGCTGTGGTGATAAGTGGTCCCTTTCCCCCCCCGCAGGTAGAGTCACCGTGGACGATCAGAAAACTCAGCGGGACTCTCTGCTGGCTGGAGGTGAGTCAGTTACTGCCCAAGGAAATAAGATGTGAAGGGTTTACTCTTACATTCTTATGTATTTGCTAATTGAATTGTGGCTAGAGCCATATGTAATAGGCTGACATCTACTGGTCAGTTGGTTCATTGGTTGGTCAATGGGCGATTGTCCAACCGTTTCTTATTGGTTGGATTATGGCGGTTGTTACTCTCAATCTCAGAATATTGCTTTTTACAATTATTTACTACACACACACACACACACACACACAAGCAGTCCTTGTCTCAGACCTGACAATTGTGTTACTATAATGCCTAAAGTTTGCGATTTCCTGTTGCGTATCAAGGTTGATTAACTTTGAGTCTGTCATTTAAGTGTAAAATGTAAGTACATAATACTAATGTTATAAAGGATTTCATATGCTGCAAATAGCTTAATAATTACGGCCGATTCAGTTCATCTTAAAATAATGTGCTGTCATTTTCCCTTAATTGACCAATTGATATGTTGAACAGTTGGAAGAGTTTTAGTGAACCAAGATTTTCTTTGTTAGTTCCTGGTCAGATGTCCTCTCAACCTTCTTAAACAACAACAAAACAGGCCCTGGGAAGAGTGATTGCCCATTGAAAAAGGTCATTTATACAATTTCTTTGGGTCTTGAGGGTCCTGTGTGAAGTCTAATAAGTGATGTTCCTTGACTCAGCGTTGATTGCTGCTAAAAACTACAAGCAAATTTGGGTGTGAAAGTCAGAAACTTCTTCAGCCCGCTCCTCATCTCTCCTTGAGACTAGTTTCTCAAGGCTAAGTTGCACTATGGGTTGCCTTTTTTCCAGTTCTTATGCAACTGACTCAGGCTTAACTTCTCCTGCTTTGCAACCCATTTCCAGATGGAACTGGTTTCCATCAGGTTGCAGATGTGTATTCAGAGCACATGTTGGCAGGACTTGTTGCCAACCTGCTGTGAGAGAGCCGGCGTGCTGCTGGGTCTCAACTGGCAACCTTGCCGATTGTATTTCAAAGAAAAATTTCAAAGGAAAACATAAGTTCACACACACACACTTATCACCTCTGTCAGAGTCCACGTCTCAGTCACACGGACCTTTCTCAAGACGTATCAACTTGCTGATTGTGCCAATCAAATTTGGGCATGGCGTGACTGAGGCTGTTCTCTACTAAAGTGTTTCTGAAAGTTCAACGGCCTCTATTTTAATTGATCAATTACTGAAATTGAAGATGACCAAATAAAAAGTCTGTTTTATTCCCATCCTTAGTTTTAACCAGCCAGCAAATTGACAGATTCTGATTTTCAAATATATATTCATGGAAAATACGGAGCATGATTACCATTTAATTGTATCCCAGCGAGATAGAAGATTTTTGGAGAACAGTGTTCAAAGGATTGCCCCATATGTTAACAATGAGATTCTCACAGAGGAAAATATTTTATTCTTCAAATTACTTTTATATTGATAAGGAACTGCTCGTTAAACAATGTTATTTTTTATGACTAGAGAAGAGAAAAACACATAAAAAGGGATAAAAGGACTAGGCTATTATTCCATAATTTATAGTTTGTATTTTAAACTTTTGGACAAAACATTTTTAATGCGTTGAGCTGTGATTCTCTAAAATACCAACAATGTGATTATGACTAAGGTGATGGTCAGCCCTGGCGTTAACATACTGTAAAATAATTTTTCTGTAAAACTGTTTTTGGGTGTATTCAAACCCTTAAGTTGTTTCTCTCACATAAACCGTACATTTAAAGAAAAAGTGAAGTTGGGATTTTAAAGTGCACTTTCTGAGGATAAACATATACTGTTATTGTCCACTGACGTTCCCCGGGGTCCTGCTGACACTGGGCCCCAAAGGCATAAGAGCAGGTGGGCGAGTGACACATCTGTGCAGAGCACCGGAACAAAAACACCAACACATCAGAGACAGCATGACTATAACACTACAAAAAACACTTTATTTGACCTGAAAAATACTCCCAAAAATACCAGGATTTTAAAAGAATAAAAGAAATCCTCCAAAAAACACAGTTCCCAACGTCCTGGACATAACTGAATGGACTTTATTTATATAGCGCTTGTAACCCCTTAAAGTGCTTTAACATGTACAATTAACTCAGGAAGAGTGACGTTCACCCCCTCACACACTCGGGGGTTAGGTATCTTGCTCAAGGATATACGGACATGTTGAATGCGGGTGCTTTGGATCAAACATCCAACCTTCTGATTGGTAGTTGTCCCCTGTACCTTAGAACCAGGGTTGCCCGTTTTTTTTACTTTCTTTCGCCTCCGCAGTGGTCTTAAAGTGAGCAGGCGGACGTTCAATGTGGCCCAGGATATGATCCTATTCACACTAAAGAATGTAGCCATGCGTTGTCTGAATGGTGTCTTAAAGATTGTAAATTCACACCTGTACTTAGAGCTGTCGACTTGTTATCGGATTACAAAAGACGCATTTGTCAATTACAGGCATTAACAGTGCCATAGTGACAAGTTACACCTCTTATATTATCCTCTTTGTTGCATTTGATCATTGTTCCGCAGCAGCCATTCAACACATTTGTTTGAACTGTGTCACATGATTTACAGATTGGATGTGTTATAAAATCATTAGACAGACTCCTGAGGTGAATATTGATGTGTGAATGCTGAGACTCACACATGCACACATGGTCTCACTCTGTGTACATACTGTATGTTGACATCAGTGACTGAACACACTTAAGAGGCTGATATTTGCTCTGAACAGGGTGCGTACGGGTGCTGGAAATCCTTGAAAATGCTTGACATTTTATGAGGTGTTTTCAAGGTTTGAAAAGTGCTTGAATTTTGGGAATGGTGCTTGAATTTGGGATAAAGTGCTTGAAATTGTAAATGCTTTACTTCGCTTTTTAGATTAAAAGAAAATAAAGAAGTCGGAGCGCGCTTAATTGCTTCGCTTTTACATAAAACAGCTCCGCTCCGGCCTTCCCGCGTTATGCGCGTGACCTGCAAGTGTTTTTGTTACGTGTGACCTGGGCATTCTGATGAGAGTGATAGATGACAGTATGCCAGGAGGTTGCAGTTTCAATGAGCGTTGGCTAGCAGAAGACAAATACAAGCCATGGCTAAGACGAGGGTCAAGCCCACGAGTAGCTTCCTGCAAAGTTTGCAAAAAAAAAAATGTCAGTTGTTCACGATGGGAGAGTCTGCGCTGACGAGCCACATGAAAGGTACGCCTTAGTAGAGCATTTTGTATTAGGCTAACGTTGCATGTTACGTTTGTTTAAGCTAACGTTAGCAAGCTGAATAGCGAACTCGATGAGGGATAATAATAATTGCAGGGGACAATCATTTCAGAGGAGCGCACCTATGTTAATATGTGCGTTACAGTCGCCCTCCTGTGGTGTTCAGAGGATGAAGCACTCATTGTTGTAATTCAACCCAGTCTCACGGCATTTCATGTTATAGTCACGAAATATAATCTATTGATTCGACACAGAACGATTTTAAAAGCAATGTATTTCTACTGGTAGTATGTTTCGTGCCTAAACCAAATGTGACTTGCTCTATCGAAATCAGTCACATTGACCCGAAGACACATTTTCGTTTGTATTACTGGTTTGGGGGAAGCTCGCGAGTGTGTGTGCAGGAGGGGGGTAGGGAGGCGGCGAATAACGCAAGAAAAAAGCAGTACAGTTTGGGATTAGCCATTGTTAGTCCAGTGAAGGTAGGAAGCAGCACTCACCCAGAGGTCAACAGTCCTTGGTTGTCCAAGTCCTTGGTTGTTTATAGCATAAAGAACATCTGATTTAATGTGAGGTAGGGAAATAATCATTTGAGTATAAGTATGTGTATATAAATATGTAATTTACAACAGCTGTAAGATGCTTGAAAATGCACCTTGAAAATGCTTGAAAAGTGCTTGAATTTGACTTTGGAAAAGGTGTAAGAACCCTGTCTGAAGCTAACCGTACAGGATCTATCAATGGCACTAACACCGGCCTCCAATGGGATCTACAGGAAGTTGTTAATCGTTACTTGGATCCTGTTCAACAAGCAGGAACAGGTGTTACCAATTCAAAGAGCAAACGCTAGTGTGTGTGGTCTGTCTGCTCACAACCTGCCACTAAACAGTCACTTGAGTGTAGGCTGTGTGACTTGCATTAGAAATAGTTCCTTGATGTTTTCTACCGTTTAAGACCATGTGCGCAACAGGAGGGCAACATTATCTTTAGAGTTTTTGCATAAAAAAGAGTTGCATTCACACTGGTGGCTATTGATAATGTTCTTGAAATTAGCTTTTTACATTGATATGCTAAAACAGCAGGGAATCGTTCAATGCTCCCGTTTTCTGTGGCTAATAGTGGCTGCGTCTAGGAAAAGTGGTCCGATAAAAGACATCATTTTGACAGACACAGCACCATGTTTCACCTTTTTATATTGTTTCCTGCTCTCCATTATCACTTATGGCGCATTTCCACTGCAGTGCGTAGCACGGTTTAAGCGTGCCGTGCCAAACCCGGCCCGTTTTTTGTTGCGTTTCCACTAGGCGTAGTTCCGGCTAACGGGTACTTTTTCACAGTTTTTCTGGCTCTCCAAAATCCAGGTTCTTTCCGGGCCAACAACCGGGCTGAGTATGATAAACTCGTGAGAGAATCGCTGGCAACTACAACAAAATGAACATATTTGACCGTGATTTAATTGTAATACACGTTTCAAAATGATGCCGAAGTAACAACATAGTGATACCGGTTAGTAAAAACCATGAATTAATGCTTTGACAAGTCTGCAGACAGACGGCAGGCGAAAAACCTTTTAAAATGCGTGTTTTCTGAATGGAGATCGGCTAAGCTAACGTTGTATATGCTCCGACCGTCCACACTCACAACAACGGCCTATACAGACATAAATAAAGCAGCGACTGTATTCACCATGACACAGACAGTCTGTGGTTTGTACTTGTTTAACTTTTGTCTAGTTTCTGAACAGATATGAGGAGCTGTGAGCTCTGAGTGCTAACAGCTAACGGCTGATGTTGGTTTTCTGTGGTTCGCATTGAATATGACGTCACCGCTCCGCCTACACTGCGTTACTATAGTTACTGCCCCAGCTACTAAACTGTAATGGAAATGCGCCATTAGTGTAGTGTATATCCAACACAGCATTCAAGTGTTCTCATGGTCAGATGGTTTTCTTTTTGTTTATTCGATGGATGCAGACGTATACATTTGATCCAGTTAACCCTTGCCCCATTTGAAATAACAGGTTACTTTATTGTAAGACTTCAATAACTTCTGAAAAAATATATGTATTCTCGATACCAGACTGTTCAAGTACAACAAACCAAAAATGCAACATAAAAATAACACGGTATACTTTTTTTCAATAACTATTATTCTGCTAATAATCACAAGTTAGCTCTGCAATCAAAACATTGATTGACTAGAATGTATCCAATCTATTTTATTAAGAAATAATCAATAGGAAGAACTCGTTCCATACTTTAACAGAAAGTATTCCTTTCTTTTTAGAGAAACACTTTCTTCTTAATATTGATGCAGACTTATCTGGTTTCTTGATGTCTGTTCGAGTGATCTCGATAACTTTGCTCAGTACAGCCTGACCTGGAACAGTTCTTCTTACTTCCAGAGTTGAGGAGGTTCAAAGTTTTTCTCTGCAAAGTTATCCAGTTTACTCCACAAAGTGGGTTTATGGAACAAGGCCATAACGATGAATCCCCTTGATGTACAAAGTGATTGATCACAGGGGATGTTAGCGACAGACATTTGGCTTTTTAAACATTTCTCTGTGTATCTGCAGGTTTGCTTTTTGGAGCAACTCTGCAGTGTTGTTTCAAATGTCTTCACTCTAGCAGGCCCAGTTTGTGGTCAAACTGAAGAGGAAACCATGCATTAGCAGTAATGTAGGCCTTGCCTGAGGAAGTGGTTGACCCTAATCACCACATTGGGGCAAATAAACCTGACAAAGACCCTCTTCAGAGCTCAGCCCTGAATCAACATGCACCCAGATTACATTCATATGGATTGCAGCTCATGCCTGTCATCAGAAGGCTTCTCATGTAAAGCTGGATTTGTAGTTAAAGCATTTGTAATGGAAGGCATTGCATTTCTCATGTTGATTGCCCTCTTGCAAGACTAGACAGACATAACGTACGTGATCCTGGTGTTCCAGTAGTAACTGTTGAGCTATTCATGTACTACTTGTATGGATCTTGAATCTAATTATATCCAGGTAACTATGTTGCTGTCTCATTGCTGTTGAAGTCACAAACAAGTGACCCAGAAATGAAAAGTTATTTGATTTCAGATTGCTTTTCAGGTCAGTCTTTATACTAAGAACTATATATGCCCTAATGCAGTTCTTACTCTTTTCAACCAATGCTTCAACTGGAGAGTGTCATCGTCCGTATAACCCGAAGAAAACGGTTGTCTCATAACACTTTCAACAGGAAAAAATGATGGGCAATGTTTTCTTTATGAAGACAGGGTACCCAAAACAGCCCCATCCTCCTCTCTCTGTAGCTGAGGTCATCACTTTTTAAACTTGATGCAGACAACACTTGTTGTTGCAATGTATGTTATTTGAAATGCAAAGCCAGCCAGAGCAACACTTCTTACTTGTGCACTTTTCGAAACACGACAATAATCTCACACTATGCCCTGCAGATGTTTTGTCAAAATCCCAATAAACAATATTTGTTCAATTCTAAATAGGTCTCAATATACCATTTTAAATTAAAAAGTTCAATGCTGAATAGATGTCCCATTCTACACTATGGCTTTGGAGGTATAGCGGTAGTCCACCAAAGAAAGGTTGGTGGTTTGATTCCCAGCCCTGCTGTCAACATGTTGATGTGTTGCACCCAATGGCATGGCCAATGCTGTGTGAATGTTAGTTTCCCTGAGCAGTAGCTCTCTGTATGGCAGCCTCTGTATGAATGGGTTGCAAAGAATGGAATAGCATTATATAAACGCTCCTTTTACATATCATATTCCACAGACTTAAGAAAGCACCTTTTCGTGGCACATTACATTCCCTGCTGAAATCACATAGTTATTTGAGTATGTTTCAACAAAAATGGGAAAATAAAAACAAAGACTTATTCAAATGTATGTATTGTAGTTGTTTGCTCAACACCTCCATTGCATTTCCTTCTGTTATCGTTGGTGCTCCAGAGGTTTGTTGTTGCCAGTTGTTTCACGCTTTCACTGACAACAGTTGTGCACATCTGCCAAGACAGATTTGAAAAAAGACACTCCTTCATTAATGTTACACATGTGAGCTCACACTACAGATGTGGCCCACAGCGTCCTCATTAGGTGTCGGACGTGCACACATGGTCACCACTTGTGATCGAATCCTTCTAATTATAAACAGGCCAGTGATGCTGCCTAGAGGAGTTGTGTTGAACAGACCCTAACAGCAGTGTGTACTTTCTCTGCCGTGTTGCCACAGTGGAGTTAAGAAGAGTCTCCACCTGGCAGCTCTTCACTGTCAGTCAGTCAGCCGGCTGTCAGCTGCTATTGACAGGCCAACTCACTCAAACACCCCCACCCCTTTTCCTTTTCCTTTTCCTCTTCCCGTCACCTTGTGCTCGACAATAGATTCCTCTCCTTCTTTGACTGCCTGCCTGTCTTTGTGTCACCGTTAAATCAGCTTCCTCCCCCTCTGCTATCTCTTTTTTCTCTCACTGTCTATCTCTCTTCCCTCGCCTAACATTCACATTCCCCCCTTCACCACCTTGTTTTTCCAAGATTCAAATTATTGTCATATGCACAGTAGCAACAGTGTAGATATGGTAATGAAAGTCCTAGGCTCCTCCAACAATGCAACATCAATATATATAAGACATGAAACAAGACACAAATTAAATAGTGCAAGAAAAAACTGAGCACAATAAAATAGTGCAACATTATCTTGCAAGATCAATGAAGTATCAGAATACCTTTATTTGTCCCACAGAGGGAATGATTACATTGTTACAGCCAAAATAAAACACTATTAGATAAGGGCGTTCACATAGCATTTAAATTAAAAAGTGTAACATTCGTAATACATTTCTCCAATTGACATTTTGCACAAAACTGTTATTGCACAACAGTGGTAGTAAACTATATGCATGTAAAAAAAAAGACAAATCCATACAATAAGCTAAAAGTTGCAGAGAATGTTGTAAGTGAACAATTGAGGAGTCTATATACATATAAATCAAATAGGATCCCTCCCCCTCCGTCTGCTGCATGTTTACTTGTCCTCAGTCGACTGCGCTGGTGTGACTCCTTCTCTACCTTATTTACACTCCTGCTAAAAAAGCCCAAGGGAGAGCATGATCCCGTATGACACGCACTCTCGAGCTCGCAACACATCCCTAACAAGCCACAAAGGCAGAGAAAGAAGCAGGAGATGGAAATCTGTGCCTCTTGTCTCCGGGCTGTGTGTCCATTAGTGCGGAGAAACTCTTGAGAGGGGAGGCAGTGATTAAAGAGGAAGCAGCAATTAACAGGCCAGGGCTGCAGAGGTGTTTAAGAGTTGTGAGCCCCTATTTTGCCAGCTCAATAAATGGGGAGTTGTTAGGAGTAATTAGCACCACCAGCGACTGCCGTGCACACCAATGGGAGCCAGTCAGCAGGAAAAGAGAGGTTGATAAATGCTTGGGCTGAAATATATAGCTGAACCAAACCCTAACTGTCAGTCTGACTACATATTCTTCTCTGATTCAATAAAACATGGTCTGTTTTTGTGCTGAGTCTCATGCTCTCTGTGTTGCAGACGTACAGCTCCCTGCAGGACGTCCTGGTGTCCTTTGGACGGAGGGTGCTGTGCTACCCGCTCTACAGACACTTTTCCATGGTGTCTGCGGCCGTTCGGGACACGACTAAGATTTTGCAGTCAGGTAAGTCGACGAGTAGCGCCACACACACACTTATGGCGCGTTTCCACTACAGTGCGGAGCACGGTTTAAGAGGGCTGTGACGTCAGCGGCCCGTCTTTGGTTGCGTTTCCACTTGGCCTAGTACCGGCCGGCGGGTCCTAATTCACAGTTTTTCTGGCCTCATAAAATCGCGGGTCTAGGGCCAGAGACAACGAGGCTGAGTCGGGCTGAGTATGCTAAACTAGAGAGAGCATCGCTGGCAAGGGGGCTACATCTACAACAAGATGGACATATTTGACCGTGATTTAATTGTAATACACGTTTCAAAATGATGCCGAAGTAACAACATACTGATACCGGTTAGTAAAAACCATGAATTAATGCTTTGTCAAGTCTGCAGACAGACGGCAGGGGAAAAACCTTTTAAAATGCGTGTTTTCTAAATGGAGATTGGCTAAGCTAACGCAGTATATGCTCCGACCGTCCACACTCACAACAACGGCCTATACAGACATAAATAAAGCAGCGACTGTACTCGCCATGACACAGGCAGTCTGTGGTGTGTACTTGTTTAACTTTTGTCTAGTTTCTGAACATATATGAGGAGCTGTGAGCTCTGAGTGCTAACAGCTAACGGCTGTGTTGTTTTTCTGGGATTCTCTGAAGATCACGTCACGGCTCCGCCTACACTGCGTTACTATAGATACTACCCCAGTTCCTAAACTGTAATGGAAATGCGCCATAAAGTGAGCCAGTCCTAACGAGGCCCAGCCATACCGAGCGAGGCCGTGTAGTGGAAACGCGCCATTACATGCACACATTGTCGATTTAAGCTAGTGTAAAGACATCTTGACTTATCAGCATGATGCGTTCCTGACACTTTGACGATCATGAAGGAGCGGTTCATGAGCATTCAGTGTAGGGCTTTACCAAATGTCAACTTTTACATTCAAAGCTTCAAATTTAGGTTTTCCAAATGAGGGTTTGAATGTCATATTTTATGACATCATGACCTTGAAAATAATTAAACGTAGTTGTATTTTGCTATTAGTAGTTATATGCATGTTATTAATAGTGCTGTTGGATTGCTGCTGAGTTAAAACAGGTATGTGCCTCACTTCAAGTGGAACAACAGTTTTGAGACAGGTAGTTGTAATTGTAATAATTGTTTTACTTTTTGTATTGTCCCTGGTGAAATTGCAAATGTTGGAAGTCAGAAAAGTTGGAATCTAATTCTACGGTGGCTGAGCTCAGAGCAGACAGGTGTTGGCGATCAGAATTGCCAACACAAGAATAAAGGTTAGCAGTAAACTTGTCTATTGGAAATGTATTTAGCAGTGTGCGCATAAATAAACTCTGCAGCTCCACAATTTCCAAGAAGCCCCCGTGTTTGCTTCCCAGCTGCTCTGCAAAAGTAAAGAGAGAGGGATAGAGACTGGAATTAGAAACCGGAGCCGGAAAGCACAATCTTGGTTGCAAATTGTATATAAAAACATTTATTCTGTGCCTTTTTTAATCAGGGATTAACCATGCATTTACACAATTTGCCGGTAAATAAATGTTTCGTCGTTACGCCCGTGAGATGCACAGACAGCCTGGTAGAAAGCTGCATAGATTGAAATGAGACCATTTCCCCTTACATTATAAACCTGTCTGATATGTTTGTGGTCTAGACAGGAATAATATGTGTCGCATAATCTTTATCTGCAACTGTGCAGAAAGGCTGGGTTTAAACAGAATGACTAGCCATGCAAAGACATGTATCATCGTTTGGCATATTGATTCTTACTATTGGGTTCAGCCCTAATGCTGCAAAAGTAATATTCCTCCCACTAAATTAAGAGTGGCCCCACCTCCTCTGGGAGAGAAATGTGGATTAGTCTGAAACGGACTGTTGACTTTGATATCTCAAAGCCCGGAGTAATCTTTAAATCAAAAGCCCCCGCGGACAGATGAAACACTGCAGTGTACACACACTCAGGATGTGTGAGGGCTGAGATTATCCAGCTTGTGATGATTTTAACACTGGTAACTGACAGCAAATTAAAGGCCTTTTAAGCTCCGGATTAGCATTTCCACGCCTCATTAAGTAGGGAGATGAGTTGATCGGGCGAGCCGGGGAAACGGCAGTCAGTTTTTTTCCCCCTCACCTAATTTCTCTTACCTCAGGAACACTTACTAAAATCGAGATTTCTCATGTTCCCCCCAAGATTTAAAAGACTGATTTAGCTCTTAATTTTGCCAGATGATAAGAGGCTGTTTATTTGTCTCTATTTATTTAGGAACGAGCAATTTATTGTTTTTCACTCACCACTCATAACCCTCATTATTCGCAAGTGAAGTATGAGTAATAGGGGTTTTCCTTAATGAATTGTAACACCACAGTAATTCAGCCTGGCGTGTGTTTGAGAGTGTTTCCTTCCAGCATTACATTTCACACTCATTAATGTGTCAGGATAAAGCAAAGGGCAATGCATGCCCCATGTTTGAGGCACTTCATTTAAGTGGCAGCGAAAGCAAACATTCATAGGTATTAGCAAAACAAACCCATTAACGGCAGCGTGCATGTTGAGGCCTCCGAGGAAATGTTATCGGGGGGGGGGGGGTAAATATTTGAACAGCCCTCAGGAAGCAGGTGGAGGAGCTGCTTGAGAATACTATCCACGCTGCCAGAGTGGATTTAAGTAAGGAGCTACTGGGCAGGTACAGGGGAGCGGAGTTAAGACATTTGAAGGAAGATCTCATGATCAAAGTGAGGAAGCGAGTCGGCTGATGAAGCACATTTTCGCAGTGGCTTAACTACGACTTTTGTGTCAATCATGTGATACCATTGGGCCCAAAACATGTTTTTCTATTAACTTACATTGGTAAGGAGATGCCTGTAGATTCAGAGGATCTTTTCCCCCCCCCCCCGAGCTAAATCAGCTAGCCAGTACAAACACTTGACTAGCCCTTATTTCAATGTTAAGCTCCTTAAAGCCGTAAAAAGTGACAAGAAATGTCAGATGTGATCCTTTCTAACAGATCAATCCATCACAGGTCTTTGCTGTCAATCATTCAGTCACTGGTCTGAACACTGGTTGTTGAATGTCTTCTGGAATTCAGAGAGGTCAGGGAAAGTTTGGGAATTTAATCAAACTCTGGGTCAAATAAGCACTTTGACCCAGTTAAAGGGAAGTCGAGAAGGAGTAATGAAATTCTACAACTAGAGCAGGGCGTGAACACGGCACTGATGGGATGAGATGCATGGATTGTGTGTGACGAGACTGAATGAATGGGTATGAAAGCAGCTGCTGATATTGGACATTGTGCATTGTTGTAAAGTAGTTGGACCGAACTGAACCAGACTATTGAACCACATTGAAGTAGATTATGTCCTTGCTGCGGTCATGTCTGGATTTCCTTGGTACATAAAACCGATACTGTGTGAAGTTGTGCCTCTCCTGCTTTTAATCCACATCATTTTGATTAGTGGTAAAATAGGAAAAATGGGGAAATGTTGTTAAGCTGGTTAAAAAAAACGTTCACTTTCCTGGATACTACCCACCAACTACACTTTTCTACCAGACAGTATGATATAATAGCACGCCCAGTAGATAATTGGTGTCTTAAGACCGAAAGATAACATCTAATTAGCGTGTGAGATACAATACTAAGCATTTGTTCACATGGAGATAAAGATTTCAAGCCAGAGGAAGATATCGATGTACTCATTTCATTTAGAAATAAAGCATTGAGTAGGGGGGGGGGGGGGGGGGGGGGGAATTCACTTCCACTTGGGGAATCTGCATTTTTGTCCAGAAGACACAACAGGCTTTGTTTTTTGTCACTCTTAACACCCACTACTGCATCTATGCAACGCTGCTCCTTCTGCAGCCCTGAAGGAATTACTGTTGTACACATGGGTTGTACATCCTTTCCCACTCGTTGAATAACCTACTCTTGCCTAATTAAAACACCTTGTTCGCTTCTCTTGGGCATTTCACCAATAATTACTGAACAGTTACTAAAAAGAGCTGAACTGGGACCAACCTTTCCTTTCCCTCGGGATTCTTCCCTGAGAAATCTTGGAAGCCAGTTTGTTTTTACCTCACATGATCCAAGTCCTGAAGTAAAGGGCAGAGTTCCCCGCATACGATCCCATGCTTAAATGAGAACCAAATGTTTGTGGAAGGGTTTCCTCGCTGCGGGTTCTCTGTTTATTTTGATTGGACTGGAATTTCTCTGGACAATGCCAACCAGCTCTGGAGGTGCAGGGGAGAAATCTTTCAGTCCCTCTGTGGATTTCCGGCCACATAGTGAGGCTATGTATACGCCTGTTTGGAGGGAGAAGTGCTGTGGCAGTTTGGCTGGATGTATTCTTCAGGGAATCAACATTTGTCAGAATAAAAAATAGAGATTCTGCGTGATGCATTGTTGGTGTTGAGAGCTGCAGCATGCTAGCCAATGTGATCTCTCTACATGTTTCTAGAGTCAGAGTGCAGGTGTCGAACGTAAACCATGTCATATACAGCAAAGCGCTCTCACCATAAAACATGTTTGAAATTTTACATACTCTGGCAGATTATTTATTTCAACCATGATGAAGCTGCAATTGATTGCATGCTGCATCACATGCTGGAAGAAACCACACTGAATCATGTTCGACAGAATCCACATTTAAGACGGGGCTTAAATGGAAAACAGATATTTTATTGAGGAATGCCTCAAAACAATAGTGCACTTTTTTACTCTTATGAAGTGTTAATTACAGATAACCATGATTTTTTTTTAGTAATTTAACAGTTTTTGACGAACAGAAATATTGTTTTCTGGCATTTTGGTATGCGGGCTTACGCTAAAAGTAAGAGGTCGCGACGCCCCTGTTACCCGGTCTAAACAAAACCTTGATAACAATTATATATTTTAAACATTTGATGGACTTTTGTTCTTGATAGGATAGCATAGCATGGCAGTGCATTGATGATTTTGGAACTACAGTAACTATGAAGCCCCCAAAACATGGATGAATAGCCAGAATGTTTTACAAGATTTATTATAAACCATATTTGTTATAATTATCATTGATAGCTTTGCTCAATATCTCAAATCTAGATGTGTAGTTATGTATTAACATACAAAGTAGTGTTGTGTACTGTAAAACTGTGTCTTTACTGCTGTTTCTAGGTTGTTAAATGAATACATCTTCAAAATTACCATTTAAAAAAAAAATCAATTACTCACCTGTGTTACCTTGAATTTATTAAGAGAACTTGCCTGCCTCGATAATTACAAGGTAACAAGGATCCGAAAAAATAAAAGTCTTGATGATTTGAATTAAATGGTTCACAGCCGAACTAAGGCACATTTTTCTGCATGAAAACCAAAGTCTGGTGATTAACTGAAAAGTATTCCTTATGAAGCATCACTTCAACAATATCCAAAAGCTCAAAAATATTCAACTAGCTATTTATTTGGTATCTAAGTGTCCAGAAAGTTTCAGTTATATGTGCTGAGATATTTTGTATGATTTCTGCATAAATATATATTTTCTAGCAGGAGCCATTTGCATTCAGGGCGGGAGAACAAAGTCATCCCTGAAAGTGTTGTGATTGAGCATAAGTAGGCTCAGTCAACACAGCAGCTGTTTCCATATCTCCTACTAATACCCATTCATAGGAGGTGTTGAGTGGCAAAAATAAATATACTTATATAGTTCAAACACTTAAGCTGTGAGTCGGAGTGGCTGGCAAATCAATAATACACAATCTTCATGATAAGATTGTAACTGTGTTATAAGTTGAGTCTGGGCTACAAGCCTTGGCAAGATATTACTGTAAAAAAAGATCAGACAGGATTTTCAGAAACAAATGTTCCTAGCCCTAAAGTAAAAATGTCTGTGTTTCTTCAAAACATATATAAATCAGGTCTTCAGATCAGATCAGTTGTGAGATCACAGGCTAAATGGATTCAGATGTTGACTATAATGGTGTTGGATGGGCAGACTTTAATGGCTGTCAAGTCAGGAATCATCAAAAACAGTCAGTGCTATTTTTCTGACAGAAGGTCTGAGCAGAGCTCCCATTAAACAGACAAATTGAACCAAAAATAGAGTTTGTCTCAAACGAACTTCTTAAACCGTATAGATCAAATTACTCCGCAGCTCGCTGGGATTTTCCTCTGATCCCTTACCTCGGCTTTTATGTATGGAACAATGACTGCCAGCCTTTAGATGCATGCTGAGTCTGCCAGCAGCTGGAGTGCATTGTCATCCTTAACACTGAGCGCAAATAACACTGTTTCTCCATTTTCCTTCGCCCAGGGAAAGCCGGTGTCCTCAAATGCCTGCTGGATATTCACAAAGTGTTCCGAGAGAACGACCCGGCCTACATCCTGAACGATCTGTACCTCACAGACTACTGCACTTGGATCCAGAGGGTCAAGTAAGTCCACCGGATACCTTTTATGTTCACATAATTACCACTAGAGCAGAGGAGGGAAGCGCCACTCGGCCCCAATGATCCATCAGGATTAGATGAGACAATACAATGACCGAGTACCTAGATATGCAATCTCCATCTTCAATTCAAATAGCTTTATTAGTATTAATTGAAAACGTTAAGGTAAATGATTGATTAATGAGCCATCTCCCCTCGTCTCCATTATCATGTGTCAAACGTACCATCAGGAGCCTCACTTGATATGAAAGTTGGTGACATGCTCATATCTTCCGTGGGCGTAACCTTCCACTAGCATTCTCAAACCAAATACATACAAAAATCTGCACTTTTCTTCCAAGTGATATACAGTTTGAACGCTCTCTCCTCCTCAGAGTTCATATTTTACAATTACTTACACATTTCGAATGCGAGCCTGCGAGCGCATTGCTCAGTAATGAGCTCTGTTTTACTCTTGGCCGGGGTTCAGCCAAGTGGTGTGCTCGTCTGGAAAAAGCCCAGTTGAAAAATGCGTGCCTGATGTTGTAGGCTCGGTGCCCAGATGCAGACACGATAAAAGGTCTGCAGGGATTTAGCACCCCCCCCCCACCTCAAACCCCCCTCCCCCTCCTCCTCCGCACATTCTCATTTCTACATTTTTCCAACTGAAGTCTTGAATCTTGCTCTGAAAAATGCTACGGATGCTGGGATCCTAATGGGTGTGAAAGATGTATTTTTGCCAAGAGGACACACTTACTATCATACTGTGTGAAGCTCTGTCAACTCTTGGAAAAACTCAATCAGTCTCCTCTCAGCTGAGGGTCACGACATCCCCTTTCCGCTCTTCCTCTCTAAACGAAATGTCAGCTTGACCTCACATGCTGACTCCTAGTAGCCTGTGCATCGATCATTAAATGGATTAGCCCGTGCCCTCCCAGCGACCTGTGATTGAATTGTTTCTCCTATTCTATACTTGTCCTGTCAATAAAAGTAGTGTAAGCTGTTGTGTTGTGGGAAAGATGTTCAGATAGGTAAAACCACTTCTATCTTGAACTACTTTTAAAGAGCAAGTATTCGCACTCACTAGTGGTTTTCTGCAATGATGTACGAGTAAGATTTTAAAAGAAGCCTGCAGTCAAAATGCAAAGCGTCACAGCCTTCTCTCTGCGGTTGTGGAACGATCGCATTTACCGCAGACCAAATCTCTACCATCACACATGCAGTTTGTTGTGGCACCCCCTTTTGTGTCGTCTGACATGTCTGATGACGTATCGCGGAGGCATCGCTTTCTTCAGTGCAAGATATTCCCTCCGCGCTGGATTTGTCATCCTCCGCTAAGTGAGTCCCCTCTGGGAGCGGCAAGATGAGATGTAATCTATACCCCCGGTGCAATCCCTGTATCTTGTCACTCGCGATCAGCTGCGCATGATGGACATGACGATTAATGTATGTTTGTTGGCTCGGGGGTTGATTTATATAATCTCCTCGCTGTCCCACGTGCATTTCTACTCCTCAAGTTCTCCGGCACCCGAGACATCGGTCTCGAATTTACAACCTCGTAAAGGCTTCACCGTGATTTAAGCCTCAGGGCATGTGGCCCCCTTTTACTGTGACACAGAGCAGAGTCCTGCACATTGCAATCAAGAGTGCAACCTCAAAAGGAAATTGCTCTTCACATTGTCTCAGTTCTCTCAAAGTTTTCACGCAATGGTTTTTGGCCCAGAATCGAGCACACATTTCCTGTTAGTTCACCCTCACACCCATCCAAATCCAATATTCGTTAGCAGAGAGAGTTCTTCCAAATGCTACAGCACTGCAATTACAAGCATATTAGTTTCAGGGTTTCCTTTAGGGGGTCCTCAGATGCCAATGCCCCCTGCAGAGCTGCTGGGCTGCAAAGAAAAAGCAAGTCTTCTCACTTTCTCTCTCTCTTTCTCGTCTTTCCCTTTTATCAAATAGCTTGGACAGAGGCCAACGTAGATGCAGGGGAGCCAGCACAGACTCTAAAGCCTGGTGTCGTGTTACAGTAACACAGTTAAATCCGAAGAGCTACAACTCTCCTTTTTAAGAACGGGTTCACTTGAAACCATCCACCCAACCCTTTTTAATTGGGTCAATTTGATTCTTGCAGTAAAAAAAAAAAAGAAGCATGGCAAGCGTAGTGTTCCAGGAGGGAAGTGATGTGAGATTCATGTTTCCATATGAAGTCATTAGAAGGGAAATGCATGTGGAATCTGTGTCTAATAGATGTGGGAATTTAATAAACCTGCATTGCTCCAAAGACTGGAAGATTTACAAGAAATAAATTAGGGATAAGCCGAGCCTCGCGCCACAACAGCTGAATGGACAGACTTGAAGTGTTGTGAATGGAAGGTGTGAAGTGAGCAATCCCCCAAAAACAATGGGTGTTGTTTTCATTGGATAAATGGAGTCCAACAAAGAGAAGAATGTGTGTGTGCAGCATCGCTTAAAAACAACAAAGCTTACTGCCAAAAACTAAGTTGTTGACATTATTTTTCCTTTTTGTTTTCTGGGAGGATAAAGCAGCCTTCAGGACTTCACTGCTCATTTGTTCTCAGTATTGTGAGCATGACAACCCGTGGGGAGATTTGGGAAGCTCTGACAGCAGCACCCTGCAGGGAATAGCGCCTGGGGCTTAAACAACTGTGAACGCCTGAGGGCAACAGGGTCAAGCATGTGGGTCAGCATGTCTGGAAGGCCTGCGGTCAAACGCCTTGAGAATACACTCGGCATGGTGGCGCAGCGTTAACCTCCATCCCCCCCCTTTCATGCATGACTGGTCAATTCACTTCAGTACACCTATGTGTCATTGTAAAGCACAAGGCACTTATTACACAGATTTTCCCCATAGGCTACCAGGCGTAAGAGGTGTTTTCATTCCTACCTCTGCCCAGGAGCTTAGGTTTTTGGCTCCGTTTCTCCGTCTGTCAGCAGGTTTTCAGAAAAAACAGCTGGCACCATTTTTGGGAAACTTGTTGGAATGGTGTAGCGTGGGCCAAGAAAGAGCCCCATATATGTTGATGTACACATTTCACTTTTGTTAACATTGTTAGGTAGTGTTGATAATCCGAAAAAGTGGTAAAGAACTGGGAAGATACATGTGATCGCGCCATTACATTCGGAGAACGACCTCCGAAACAGGAATCACAGTGTTGTATAAAATCAAATACAGCACATCTTTAAGTAGCGTCCATGTTGTTTGAACATTATGATTTAAAGCTTATAAAAACAAAACATCTAGATAGATAGATAGATATATAGATAGATATATTGTATTAATCAAAATTTGGGAAATTATTTTGTAACGGGACCAGTGTGTTCAACATTAAAATACAAATATTTAAAAGTGGAATAGAGTTTACAATTGAAAACAAAATGAAAATGAAAAATAGTATATCAAATATTAACAATATAAAGAATTCTGGATGATTAAAATGTTCTTTAACATTTTCAAAAATACTGCAGTAGTAGGACTATAGGCTTATACTATACTGTATATACATATGATAGTATATAATTTACAGATATACAGAAAATTGCAAATTGAAGGGTTGATTTAAGAGAGTTACCAAATTTGAGAAATGGGACCATCCCAGGAACACCTGCGTTGGCATTGGCGAGCTTTCCCGCAGAATTTCAATCAGGTGTTGCAATCGACGTGTGATTCTCTACTCTTTGTAGATAATGGGGAATTGTCACACAGCCAAGCCAGGCAGCTTTCACGATGTCCCCCCCCCCCTCAACGATACAGCCGATGTCACATCCAGATGTTTGCTTAGAACCACCAGGCACTGCCACACAGCTTGTCAAACGCCCGTCTTGAAGGCTTTGAAACAGATAATGGAGGCGCTCCATCAGAAGTTAGCCGCAGCACTGCAGAGAGCCCCTGCTGGGCAGAACAAAGATGCAAATGTCTGCAGGCTATCGGGGATAAGTAGTACAGATTTCCTCCCAGCGTGAGGCCACACCATCTCTTTGTCTTGAGTACACAGGCTCATCTTAAACACTCTCTGTATTTGCATAATTTCCTCTATCTGTGCCCACTCCAGTTATTACAAATGCATTATAATGAAGGCGATTCCTCTGTCTAAACAAATACTAATTAAAAAACAGTTACTACGGCATAATACCTGTAAGTTCTAGAGGTATTAACACGTTTAATGCAATGCAGACACTCTTAACAACTATTAAAACAATTCCAAAGCTTTAATGTCTAAGGGATTACGTAAATTAAAAGTTGAGGAGAGACTATAAAATCAGAGTTATGAGCTGAATATAGTTTGTAGTAAAGATCCCACAATCCCAACAGTGAGGTATAAATTCAAACTTTAGCTTGCCAGGCTGCAGTGTTATAAATCACACCCAAAGCTTTAGGGCTTTTTTTGAAAGAGCAATCCAAACCAAGGCCTGCCATGGTGAAGATACTGTTGATAACAAATTCATTTTGATCCAGGAACATGGCTGAACATGGATTAGTATCTGTCATTATCAAAAGGAGAACATACATGTCTGTATAAAGTTTCACGAGAATCCGACCAATAGCTGTCCAGACATTTCGCTCAAACCCATGAAGGTCAAACTGGTGATCCCCCAGGTCAGTGGGCTTTCTTTCTCTGGGAAACAATAATCTCTGTCCACAATTCCTGGCATCCATTCAAAAGCTTTTAAATTATAGTGGGATGTTTACAGAAGATTGCATAGCGCCTAGTCAAACTGGTAACTGCTGATAAGAAAACAGTATGCCTGTACAACTGCTGTGAGTATAGTAAGCAATACTTAAAGGTAGCCGGGCCGGCTCAGATGATTGGTCGTGCTTTTTACAGTACTACGGCTTCCACAGATGACATTTTTTAATGGATTTTTTTGTCAAAGCTCTTAAGATATTCATTGCTATCGGGATGTTAAGAGCATTCCATGGAATATAACAAAAAGTGTATCTCGAGCCGGTTTCTCAAACTTACCTACCCCACCTTTAAAGTCTGAAAACTCCAATGCACATTTACAGACACCTTTAATGTCTGTCATGAAATCCCTCTGCCGCCAGTTTGCAAGGAAGTTGCTGAGTTAACGGTTATCATACCTGATAGGACTGACATTCAAAGCTACAACAAAAAGACCCAGGTTGTAAAGACATCACAAATAGTCCTTCATGTCACAGTTGACAGTCAACAGATATGTATGGTGTATCAGTGTGTGTGCAGTACAATAAGTCTTTCATAGGCAGCTCCAAGTCTGAACTCAAACATTGGCGTGTTGAATAAATACATCTGTTTTTCTCATTTCTTGAATCAAAGTGGCATCCAATGCCTCAGAACCTCCCAGCGTTCAGTCACAGTGACGGATCACATCTCCCCGCGTCGGCTTTTATCCCTCAGCCAGTGAATGGTACATTCTGTGAGTTACAGTGAGGAAATCTGCCGCTCATATTACACAGATTTATACATCTGAAGACAAGCTTTATCCGAGACGTTTTCAAGAGCACAGACGTGCTGAAAGAGTTGCTCTTTCAATGAGACTGATGAAAGAAATGTCAGATTGTAATTTAGCTTGCCTCTTACACACACACACATCCTATTCTCATCTGGAGACTTTGGCAGATGGAGGCGTCTTTGTCTTGCCAGAAGTTTTTCCAACCTTGAAAAAAAATCCCACCCCTCCTGTGTTTAATGAAGGCAAGCCACAACAGCGCTGTAGTAATGACTGGATTGTGTACAACCTTATCCCTCCCCCTCCTGGACAGAGCCTTTGTATTCACCGCAGGCCGAGCTTCTTCAACCACAGAGCGAGGGAGGGGAGAGAAAACAAGCACGCCTCCCCAATGCTAACTCAATAATGACTTCCCACGGGGGAAAGAGAATACAGGCCAGTCTTTGAAGTGGCTGTGCAGCAGGAGGCTCTTCTGCTCGAGCCTCGCTACAGGAAGCGCTCACGTGGCTTTTATAGAGCCTGGGCCCTAAACTGGCTCCATGCAGCAGCCTGCACACACTCATCATCATTAGTTCAGGTTAATGTCTGGATACCTGTAATCACTGCAGGAAAAAGCCATTTGTCATTGTTGAAAATGCTTTGCAAGGCTCTAGTTGTGTCAATCTTTCATGGCCTTCGCACATGGAAACCACAAAATCGCAGGACTCAGTTACACAAAGAATGCAGCGGTTTCTGTTGTTTACATCTTCACACAACTTGTGTTGACTTATTTCCATGGTCAAGAATGGCAATGTTGGTTAGTCAGTCCACCACTTTGGTTTAGACTGAAACATCTCGACAGCTATTACATGCATTGCTTTGACATTTGGTGCAGACATTCACGTTGCGCAGAGAATGTAGCATAGTCACTTTGTTGACTTTTCCTTTTAACCCCATCATGAACTTCAGGTTTAAGGTTTGAAACTAAATGTCTTTACAGCTATTGGATGATCTCCACAGGATAAATGGGAATAACTTGTGACTGCAAGCCGAGTCATCAGGTCAAAATGTCACATTAATTGGTTTATAGCCAAATACCTGGAAAACTATAAGAGCATTCAGAGAGTGACACGTGCACCTTGGCCTCATCTCACTATGTTAAAAAAGGGAGTACTAGCCCCATAATTCATCTCTAAAATGTACTGGGTTATTTCACTACCCATGCTACGCCCTTGCACAAATCGACATGAAAAACAAGCCCGAAAACATTTCTCCTTGGCAGAGGTAACTCATATCATTCCCAGTAGCCTCAGTTATACTTCAGTGTTAATTAGCAAATGCTAACAAAAATGCATGTTGTTGAAAATAGTCAACTACGACTGCTTCCTGACTGTAGTGTTCACCCCCAAAGCACTGCTTGATGCGGACACAATGAGTTACTGCATTGGTGGAGGAGAGTAGCTTCAAGTAACAGAGAACATGAAATACTATCCACAGTGTCCAATGTTAGAGCCAAGAATCTGAAGACTGTTCAGATGCTAAATCATTGCACAGCCATTTATTATACTGTGAGACAGGATTTTACAATTCCTTAAAGTTATCAAGGCAGCAATTATTTTATCTTAATGTCAATGATTACACACCCTACGCTGTGTGTAACTCAGCCTCGAGCCCATTTGTTCCTACTGGAGATATATCTTAAAAAGCATGTCAAAATATATAAATAATGTCTCCTAACTGTGGCTCATTCATGTGTTTTAATAAGAGCTCTATGGCTAAGAGGAATATGCTACACCACATGTTTGAAGGATCAATAGAATGCATTAAAGGGTAATTCTTTGCATATTTACCCTTTTAATGCACGACACAATCGCATTCCTCTTCACAGTTTCTTGGAGGGTTTTTATTTCTTAGGATTTACAGATTTTCTAGCTTGAGAATGTCGTGTATTTTAGCCAAACTCACAGCTCCACGACTGAAACCACGGGAATGTTTCTACACTCTGAGCTTGGCACGCAGCCCGAGAATCTTAGCAGGAAAATCGACTTTGGCTACTGTTTCCAAATTCTGCCACATTGTGACACAGAAAACTGCCAAAACATTTCTCTTGGATTAAGGTGCATGTGAGAAAGGGCATCTCCCTGCTTTCCCACATCCCCAGCTTATTCCTTTCTGTGTGCACAGAGGAGAATGTGCTAGAACGATAAGATCTGTTTACACAGTCCCTCCTGAGGTCTTAAATGAATACACAGCCCCTACACGCTGCTCCCATAAACACTTTACTCTCCAGAATAGGGAGCTCATTAGGACTGCACGGTAATGAGGAGCCATCCTGGAGCTCGGCAGCGGGTTAATTGGGCCAGAGAGGGCACCGGGAGCCCAGTGTGAAAAGCCCCTCAACACACACACACACTTTATCCCACCCTGAATGGTCTGAATTACAGTGACCCGCAGAGGTCACCTTGTAATCACCATGGCAATAGGGGCAGCACACACACCCTAAACGCACCGGGGGACGAATAGCAACCACTTAAGTTTTTGGCAGCAAGGCAGGCATCCCAGTGTGAATAATGTGCAGGCGGGGGGCCTCCGAACAATCTGATGGCTTTACACAAAAGGGGCCTTGTGGAAGGAAATTCATCAGCAATAAAACCCAGCCTCACTCTTCAAGGAGTTGTGTTGTGTCTTCCCTGGTGATAAAACTGGGGCTACGGGACGGAGACATTGTTTAATGTTCTGCTTTATGAGGGCATTCTCTTAATCTCTGGACACATTGAGCTGTGAGGCTGCAGCTCAGAAGCACTCTGTGTCCAGACTTTTATTGACTGTTCTGCAGTCAGGCTTTCTGCAGAACTGCCGGGCCGTTTGGGGGAACCTGCTTCCATTCTACTGGATTTATTCTCTAAATGTTCTTGGGTCCGATCTATAGGGAACATTTGCTAATGGACAGAACACCTCACTAATGTCTGGCTTCTGTCTTCAGTGTGAAAGGTGACAAACCCTTCGTGACTCTGCCGAAGTCACAGGTGTTTATCAGCCTTTACTCCATCAGCAGGGATAGAAACATGACATCCAGGTGGTTACGCCAATTTTCTGCCCATTTTATGGAGCCGTTCTATGTGACGTGTGAGAAGTGAGTATAGATTTTGTATTAAAACGTAAAATGATTATACTCTCCTCAAATCTCCAGCAGAAAACTCGTAGAAATAAAACCCTAAAAAAGACTTTTCACTGTTTCCAATAATCACCATCGGTGGTTTGAAAGTGGGAAAAATGGGCTGAATAAGTGACAGATATTCACTGACGGCTACCTGACGTTGTTTAGTTTGTAAACAGGCGCTTTTGGTTCGTAAAACATGACACACCAAAACAAAAATTGAAAGGCAAACACATCAAGTCATGCCCTGAGGCTTAAATCACGGTGAAGCCTTTACGAGGTTGTAAATTCGAGACCGATGTCTCGGCAGCCGGAGAACTTGAGGAGTAGAAATGCACGTGGGACAGCGAGGAGATTATATAAATCAACCCCCGAGTCTAACACTTCTTTTTAAATAAAACCTGCATTTGCACGCTTATTTTAGTGGAAAACAGCCTGATTGTTGGGTAAACTATCCCATTTAAAATCACACTAAAATGATATATTTTTCTCCCTGGCATCCATTATATTCTCAGGAATTGTTGGCTGCTCGTGAAATCATAAAAAAATCCCATCTTGTCTGGTGTGAAAGGTTCCTCTGCTTGCCGCTGCCTCAAACTGTTGGCTTAGCCTCTCATAATGCGAGAGGGGAAAGTGTGCAAATTTGCATGTACTGGCCGAGGGTGGGGAGGGGGAGGGGGAGAGCTCTGCCTCTCTCTGTAATCCCTCTCAGTCTCTTGTCACCTCTCGCAGGGAGAGCGGCAGTGGGGGAGGGGAAGAGCCCCGCGTATCAGCGCAGCTCATCTGCCTACATTATTAAACATCCATATTTCCATATTTCATTGAGCCCCCCGCGCCTCGGCAAATCGCGTTCTACTTAGTATTCAGATGAGAATGGGATATGGTTAATGGGTATTAGATTTGTAGATGGTTATCCCGTGGCTATGTCTTTCATACGCAGAGCCCAGTCCATCAGTTAGCATCTCTCCCTGATGAAGTTGTAGTTTGATGTCACCTTTTTTCCCTTTTCTAACTTCTCCTTCTTTCCCACTCTTTTATCTCCACAGGTCCAAGAAGATGTCAGCGTTGGCCGCGACGTTGCAGAAAGCTTCCCTGCAGAAGAAAGACTTGGAGCTGGAACTGGAGGAGCTGGAGGAGGCGGCGAAGATGGTGGCGGAGGAAGAGTCCCACAGTGACAGCAGCAGCTCGTCCAGTGACAGCAGCAGCAGCAGTAGCAGCAGCAGCAGTAGTAGCGACTCCTCGGATGAGAGCGAGGAATCTGAGGGGCAAGGAGAGGGAGAAGGGGGAGGGGAGGTATCTAAGGACAACCCTCCACAGTCCCAACACACCCCAGCTGCCTCTCCCCTCCCCCAGCAGAGCACACTTCTCTCAGCGGAGGATAAGGTGAACGCCCTCCCCTCAGCCTCAGAAGGATCCAGACAGCTGATCCAGGAGCTGGGGGAACGGGTGACAGAGGAGCTGAACATCTCCGAAGACTTCACAGCGGAGGAGAGAACGAGTTCACGGGCGAACGGCGGCGGCGCAACGAAAACAGAAGCAACATCTGCGAGGAGCAGCAGCAGCAGCAGGATTTTGTTAGAGCCGAGTCCTCGCAGGAACCCTCTGCTCATCGTCCACACTCAGGAGGATCTCACTGAGTGACTCCTCTGCATGAGTCACCTGAGAGACTGAAGGCTTATTGTAAGAAACGTTTTTTTAATGATTTCATTTCTATATGATCTTTAGAGCTCGTTTAGAGGACCTTAATGTCTATAAAGAATAGTTTCCTCTGAGTTTATGAGCTCATTAAAGTCCTTTTTTTCATAATGATTTTTTTAATGAGCAAGTGTATGCTTTGAGGTCTCATTTCATTAAAGGATAGTAAAGGAATTAGAGGCAGTCTTCTTTTTCTTCTGCCATATGTAAATCTGCAACTAGTGAGTTAATTGAAAGAAAAGGGCATTTATTTTGGTAATAGATTGATCTTTCAAGTAAGTAAAGGAAGTAAAAGCTGTTTTCAGCCTCTTAAATATGGAGATTTCCTGCTTTTCTGTTTTATATCATAATAAAGGGAATAACTTTGGGTTTAGGACTGACAAAACAAGACATTCGAAGATCTCCTCTTGCAATGGAGAAGCTGGGATGGACATTTTTCACTATTTTCTGATATTCTACACATCAATCAAAAAAATCAATAATAGCAAGTTGCAACCCTAGCCTTGAGTTATGTAACACTCTTGCTACTGCTGCCCGATGTCTAAGCCGCCTACATGCTGTACAAATGTATTTAGTCTTGCATACTGTGTTTTGTTTTACATGAATTCTAAATGTAATTATGTAAACTAATTCAACAGAGTTTGTGAACTAGACCTCTGCTACAAATGTAAAACGTCTGCTACAAATGTACATTTCCATACTCGTATCAACAAATGCAGTCTATCTATATTTGCCTCCAATAAACCAAACTAATATCATTCCAGGAAGCTGACAATCCTTCATTGTTGCAGATCTCCCTGCCAAAGTGGCTGGCAGAGCTGCTTTAAGTGGGCTTTTCTTTTCTTAATGAATGGAAGGAAAAGCACTAACCTCCTTCCGAAAGAATTGATTGAAGTGGAAAAGACTGTCGGCACTAAACGGGGCCGCGGAGCACGCAGGAGTGATTGATTCATCTGGCATGAATGGAGGAGCGCCGTCAACACGGCTCAATATCATCGGCCGTGTCTAGCAGGCGAGAGAAAACAAACAAGGAAGCACATGTCAGGCAGATAGATGAGAGCTGCGAGCGGAGGCTGCGGCACGGGAGCTGTTAGTTTGAGAGATAAGAGCACCCCGGGGCCCGAGGCAGAGCGAGAGATAGAGGAGCCGAGGGCCGGAGAGACTCACTGACACGCTGGCCAGCTCAGGCGTGAAGACGTCCGCATACATCTGCAACAGAAGCCAAATCCACTTACCCTGCAATAAAATAGATTTTCATTTTGTGTCCCCGGTGTGGTTTCTGTTATTGAGGGAGCATAAAGAGATCCAGAAATTAGCCAAATCTGTCCGGCTTTATGACCCTAACTGACTCAGAGAGTGATTGATGGAGCGCAGCCACAGTGTTGCCTCGGGCATTTTCAAGGCAAATGTTATCCCACGTGAATGAAGGCTTCTCAGGAACCGGCGGTGATGATGGCTCCTTTAGGTAGGCGGTGTCTCTAATATTGTGTTAGCGAGATGGATGGTGTTGTTAAACACCTCCCAAGAAGACACAACCTCCCAGCAACACCCCCTTGGGAGCGAGCGCCATCATCGCTGTGACGGAGATGAGTTACATCGCGACAGGCGGCCCGTTTAAACCCCCCTTCGTTCTGGGGACATGAGTTCGGGGACTGCGCGGCCCCCGCAGGCGGCGCTCCCCTGGCCCCTCTGAGGTTTAACATTGATTAAGTGACACCGGGCCCCGATGCCGTTTTTCATTTTAAAGTGGCCTCCATATTCCCCCATTAGTGCAGACGTCTCGGAGCCTGACCGGGGATCCGCCGCCGAGCTCTGCACTTCACTTGCTTCTTCTGCAATTAATACCACTCACCAACAGACATTTTTCATGAGAAAGGCTGTGGTTTAATGAATGTGGCTGATAAATTATACAAGGCTGTAATAAATGTGATGTCCATGCTCTATTTTCACTTAGATTTGATAAATCAGCCCCTTACCCATGTAGTGAGTGTGCCCTTTGACCCCCAAAGGTCTAAGAAAGTGGAGTAATGTGTTCAGGACTTATGTTGGCCACTGAGGTAATTAGCCCATTAGCAACTGCACATGTCAAATAAGAAAAGGTTACTAAAGCTGGTAATGTATTAGCTTTTTCCTGCATTGTCCACATACTTATCTTCATACTTGATGGGTACCGGCAGAATGAGCTAGTAAAAGTCTAGAGGACAGGTCAAGGCCGAATCATCTCCAGCCACCAGCAGAATATATTTATTGAAAATTCTTGAGGCTTTTTTTGAGAACACAAAATAGGAACCATGCGTGTTCTTGACCTTGGAAAATAAGTTTGAGGGAAAAATAATCATTTTGGAATAGTTGAATATGTTTTATTCTAAGCTTGTTCACATTCTTGCTGAGAGCTATATTAATTATATTCAAGGAATGCACTGGACCCAGCCAAGAAAGAGTCAGGCAAAAAACGTAAGTGAATAGTCTGAATCCCTAGGTAGGTAGAATTGACCATAGGTTTAAAATGGTTATGTTTTAATGCAGTCCCTGTAGAGTAAAAGAGGCGGGAAACACATTCAACGACATGCAATCTTGGAAACAATCGACTGTCTTGTGACCAATTCTTCGCTTTTTTATTAACTTGTAAACTGGTTACTTGTGAAAACACCTGGTCGCAGAAGTCGTCTCTCAACTCCAACTCCATTCTAATGTTCAAATTGCTTATTGGACAGTCAGAATGATTAGCTTACTCTAGACAAAGAAGATTATTTATTTCAGAATGATAGCCAGTCGGTTACCAGATTGCTGTGGTTATAGTAGGCAGTAACGTTGTAAAGAGTCAGGCTAGACTTTTCCTTGTTTTTAGCCTTATTGCTAAGTTACGCTGTTCGTCTCCTGACTTCATAACGGGACGATATGAGAGTGGTATTGATCTTTCCGTCTTACGCTCAGTTATAAGGTGCAAAGAAAACCTATCACCAAGTGTCCACTTACAATCTTTTCCGGCATAGTTTTAAACTTTATCTCCCAATGTATAGGATGAACTTAAAATATCTACTACATCCTGTGGACAAAAAGCTATTCTGTTCAGGAATGCAAAGCTAGAAGAAGGCTACATATGAGTTTAAACAAAATCTGTTGTATGTGTAGAGAAGACAAATTCCACCATATGAACTAACACATTTAAAACAATTCTGGTTTAATGTCTGAAGATTTAGTGCACCGTTTGGCCGAACATGTGCTGTGACCTTGCAGTGCCCCACTTGTGTTTCCAAATGAAAAAAATGATCTCACTAATGTGATAAAGCATTCTCTCCCTTTGTTTTTGTTTCGACCGGGGGAAAGTCAGCAGCAAGGACAGTGTGGTCTCTGCCCCCTCTCCCTGAGACACACTGCCTCTGGTTGATTGTAATAGAAAAACTCAATCTCCTCTCCCGCTCCTGAAAGGCAAAGTGATTCGGGTGCTTGAAAAGATTAATAGCCCTCAAGAAGAAATGAATCAGGTGCTCTCCAGGGCCCAACCCCTCCTATGGGCGGGCAAATAGAAATCCTTTTGTGCACCCTCGTGTCGCCCGGTGCGGCTCGGCTCTCCCTTTTGTGGCAGTCGTACTGTGTCATGTCGCTCCAGTCTTGGCCGGCAAAGACACGAGGAGCTGCTCACGAAAGAAAAAGGAAGCAGGTGGCCGATCTCTTCAGCTCATTCTTCGGGGCTTTGTACTCGGTCCCTCTTGGAATGACTGCGTATGGTAATGAGTGCATGGGATGTGTCAGTGTCTCTCAAGCTGACAGCGCTGACAGGGAGGGATTATCTAAATGGGCTATTTTCATGCTCTTAATCACAAAAGAAACAGTGAAATACCGCCTTTTCCGCAGCGTGTGGGAGCACATGTGTGTGGCTGTGTGTTGACAGTGCCGGCATCCACTTGTCGTCGGTAACGTTGCCTGGCTGATTCACTCTAATTGGTGTGAGCAATGTCCGTTAAATCACTCCCTAACTCTCAGTGGACATGTGCTATCAGGCGGCTTAATGCTGCAAATTGCCTCTGCCGTGCTGGAGGTGTGTGTGTGTGCAAGTAAACCTCTCATCGTTATACCGCCTTGTTAAGTGCGTTGGAGTCGCAGGGATGTGGGTAGAGTTGAGTCACCTGGAAGAGCAGCCACGTATGAGGCTCCTTCACACTTTGACCAGCTGATATCTGAATGTACATTTAAAACTATATACTATTCCACTTGGTACATAACATTGCTACCCCTGACAGTTGACATACAGAACTGTCACAGTAGTAAACAGCACATTTATAATGAGGCTGCCTCCACATGGCCCTGTCTCGAGCCCAGTATCCTATATGAGCCAGTCTGTGTTTGAGTGATCCAGCTCCGGTCTTGTGTTTGTTTTCATTGCTAAAACAGCTGTCAAACACGATTAATATTTCAGCGAGAGAATGTGCTGGAGGGAACCTCTAGGTGCTAGGGGAGTTGGAAACAACAAGCCGACACTGTTGCTTTCTGGCGTTCTCCCTCTTCGGCTGTTGTGTTTGCCTCGTTCCTGATCTTCTTTGCCCCAAGTGAACTCTTTTATGACTCCTGAATCAAAGTGGCCAGGATGGAATTGACATATAGCGGGTAAAGCTCTCCTAGATGGTGTCAACAAGCTGTTGGTGTATATCACCTCATTCCTAGCCGTAGTTTGATCTTTTTCTCCCATCTTTTGATGTTTCCTTTGTAGAGGCAAGCAGATCAGAGCTTGGTCAGAAGAGAAACCAAACCTCCGAGGCAGTGGTTTTGTTTTCTCTGCCTTGTGTCCACGGAAAAGAGCCCTTTAGCCTTCATGTCAAGTCCACGTTTCTGCCTCTCTTGGCTCACTGTACAGCAGCCTCGGACTAATGATGCCTCACGGATGTTCCCCTGTTGCAACCAGGCGGTGAACAAAGGCTTCTCGTGATCTTTCTCCCCCAGCGCTGTGCAGACTAGCTACCCTGACACCACCAACAAAGTATCTTGACTCGGGTAAAAGCCCCTGCTTGGGTGTAAACACAGAAACACTCTTTTCTAAATTTGCTCGGCGGTGCCAGGTCTGCTGCTTCTGTTGACAAGCCCTAAGCAAACAAACACACAGACTTTCCACCCCGATCACCCTGTTTCATCTACGGCACCTCCACGGCTCTCTTCCCAGTTAGTCTGCCGCACTTCCTTTCACCTACTCTTTCTATTTCATGCTCTGTCTCTCCCACTTCCCCCCGCCCTCTCACTTTCTTTCTTATCTCCACCCAGCTTCGCTTTGCAGTTCTCTTGAACGTTGTGTCAGCCAACCCACGTGCGTCCCACCCAGTCGTGCAGCATTTTTCCAGCGCCTCTCCTTTCCACCCCTACACGCATTACAAGACTTGGCCTCCTACCATATTCCCTCCCCCCTGGGATGCGTTACATGTAAGCAGATACCCACACATGTGTCGCTATGCCGATCCTGTCAGCATGTCATGGATCGGCCGCCCTACGAGATTCAATCGCTGTTCTCTGGCACGGGGAGGTGTAGATTACATCTGCATGGTTCAGCGCCGTGCCTCCCAGCTGACACACAGATTCAACAGAGAGGGTAAAACATGGGGGCTGACGGGGGAGAAGAGAGGTGGAAGAGGGGGAGGGGATCACTGTCAGTGTAGCACGACTTTAAAAAGAAAAAACAGCCGTCTGAAGTTCCTGCTCATTCTGTCTTTTTAGTTTCTTGGAAAGACTTGTACTGATTCTCATCAAAGAACCAGACGTGGGGCTAATGAAA